TCAACATCGCGCTGAGGAAGTGGGTTCATTGCCCTGTCGCTGCTGAGATCATCAGATAGAGTACTTCACGCACCTCTTTTTCACGCATGCGGTTTTAGGTTTGATGCCTGCTTGTCGCTGGCTGTTGCTCCGCTGCCCAACAGCTCCTCCGGAGAGCCTCCACGCTACCGGTACTTGCTATTCCCCGCACCCAATTCTCTCCTCTTCCCCGCACACGCTTGTCAGCTAACACACTTCCGGGTCATCTCGCTCCCGCAGGTCAGCTCGCCTCAGAAAGTACTCCCAGCGGAAGGACCTAAACAAGCGCATGCCCAACTTCCAGATCGCCATGGGCTTCGGGCTGCATGTGGGTTGGGCCATCGAGGGCGCCATCGGTGAGCGACGCAACAGCGATAAAACCAACGCAAGGATAATGCCTTCCGACGACCCATATCGACATGTTTACAGCTGCAGCAGCTGCTGCTGCAGCAGCTTCCCTCCTCGCTCAATTTGGTTTCCTAGGCTGCTTGGAATCTCTCTGTCCAGGTCCCCGACTGACCCCTGGGTGTCCAAACACGACCCAAACAGAACCTGAGCCTGCTGCCTCTCCTCGCTTACCGCCCCCTGCCTCCTCGGTCCTCACCCAACGTACGCCCCCCCCCCTGCCTCGTCAGTTTCCTTATTCTTACCCCCTGCCTCGCCTCCTGCAGGCTCGGTGTACAAGATCGACGCCAGCTACCTGAGCCCCAACGTCAACATGGCTTCGCGGCTGGAAGCGGCCACCAAGCAGTTCGGGGTGGCCATCCTGCTGTCGGAGGACTTTGTGGAGTGCCTGTCCAAGCAAGTGCGCGAGCGGGTGAGTGCAGGGCGTTGCAGCTAGCGCAGTGACCTGGATGGTCCGCGTGTGCAGGTCTGGGTCGTGGTCGCGCGTGGCGCGGGTGATTGATGTGAGCTTTCCATTGCCTCCGTTACTTTATATCAGCGTACTAGCCCGCCACGTGACGGTCGAGTACGTCATGGGCCACGTGCCTAGTTGCGCACACCCTTCCATGGACACCCTACGGACAACTTCACCTTTCCACCATGTTTGTGCCCCGCACCGCATGTCCCTGTGTCGCGCTGCCTACACAGGTACGGCAGATCGACAACGTCACGGTCAAGGGCAGCATCCAGCCCATGGGCCTCTTCACGTACGACATCTGCTGGGACAACATCCCGGAGCCCACGCAGGAGCAGATCGACGCAGGTGAGCATACCGCCATGTGGCTAACAATCGGAGTGCATTTGCGGACGCAGAGCATCCCTTGCAAGCGTTTCGAGCCTTGGGGCACGTGGGTTTCATGCGGACCGCACGCACCCAGACATCCAACTCTCTCTTCGCAGCGCATGCGGCCCTGCGGTCCCCAATCTGCACTTACCTGCGGTTCCCAATCTCTGCGCATACCTGTCCCGGTCTCCAACTTGCATCCGTTGCATGCAGGCGACGACAGCGCCATTGAGGACATGCTGTGGCCGCGAGACGAGTGGGCCAATGAGTGGATGGCCAACCCCGATCTCGCCAACAGCTGGGGCATCACGGAGGACTTCAAGGAGCAGTTCGATGAGGGGTTCAAGGTGCGTGAGTGTGTGCGACCCATGGGTCATGGACATACAAGACGCTACGCAACCCCAGCCGCGGGAATACATCTTTCATGCTTTACAGGCTTTTGTGGCTATAAATTGAGAGGCCGCCATATTAGTACAGAAATACACACAAAGCCGCGTACCGAGCCCTTCCTCTTCTCGTGTTGCCCTCCCACCTTCATACTGCCAACCAACTCCTGCTTGCTCCCCGGTCCGCTTCACCCTGCCACCTCGCCCTCCGCCCTGCCAGGCCTACCGGCGGGGCGATTGGACGGAGGCTCAGCGCCGCCTTGAGCACTGCCGTACGGCCCTCAGGGACCGCAGCGGCGAGCCGCGTGTGGACGGCCCCTCGGATGTGCTGCTGCGGTTCATGGCGGAACACGACTATGTTGCTCCGCGCGGCTGGAAGGGCTTCCGAGAGTTGACCGAGAAGTGAGAGGAGGAGGGTGAGGTGGTGGCAGGGGTGGGAAGGAAGCAGGGAGATACCGGTAGAGGAGAGGAGAGGGAGGCAATGGGAGGAAGGGAAGCAAGGAGAGGAGAAGGAGAATGCAGGGACGCGTGCGGAGAGGGGGAGGCAGCGGGCGAGGCAGGAGAGGAGGAAGCTGGTGGGCCAAGAGGAGAGGTGGCAGCAGCAGGCGAGAAGAAGGAATGGCTGCTGGCTGGAACAAGAGGCGGGAGCCAAGGGTTAAGCCAAGAGGTTGATGACCGGGGCCTTATCGTATTGCTAACCGCCGTGTTGACAGGTAGGGGCTCTTAATAATGAGAAGGAACTAGAGGGCACATGCCCAAGCTGTGGAATGGGGGCATGGAGGGATGGGGGGTGTAAATAGGAGTGAAATGATGGCGTGGTTGAAGAAGAGTGGAAGGCTTACACACCGGTAGGTAGAAGGATGCGGCGGGCCCAGAGTAGTTTACGTGTCGCTTAATGTTGCGGCTGAAAGGAAGGTGGCGCGGGCCCATCCATTCGCCCACTACTGGTGCTGGTCCTAGGTAGGCGTGCATGCAACAAGGTGCCTTGAGTAGGCGCGGCCCCGCATCAGGGGCTTCAATCTGTGGTAAAGGAGATTACTTGGGCTTGAGAGCAAAGCCCAGATCGGCAGGAGGCAGGCGTGCGTATGTAGGCAGAGGCAGAGGACGCTGGGGTGCGGGGAGCTTGGTAAGGTCGGTATGCAGGGGGGTTCACTTCAACTTTACGAGGCATCATGCGCCAGTCTGGTGCGTGCAGGAATAGCAGTTGGATAGCAGTTGGGCCACCGCGGCTGCAGTCCACTGTACGTGTATAGGGTATGGATACCTTGCGTATTGGGTAGGCATTGCTTAAGCTGTAGGACTGGTTGTTCTAGAAGGCACTGACGGCAACTGGTAATTTGGGTCCTCATTCGCAGCTGCTGTGGGTATGTCAAGGGGTGGCTTTTGCCTCCAAACTCGTCAATGCAGTTGACATTGGCGTCTTGGCGACGCGAGATTGCCTAAGCCAGCTGCTGCTACTTGTACTAAGGGGGCGGCAGCGGATCCTGTGAAGAGCCGTGACAGCCGCAACAAGGGGAGGAAAACGAACTTGAGTCCTTCTGTCTCATGGTATTGTAGTTGGGTAATCGGGGTCAGTGCACCAGTCGTTGCTGATCTCGTCCTCCTCGTGTGTTTTGACATTAGTGCCCACGCACGGTGGCAGCGCCTGTACGCCCCGCACCACTTGCGGCAGCTTGGGCTGACCCGTGGGTCACTGTCTGAGTTGTAGGCTAAGTAGCAGAGTTAAAAGGTGCTCAAGAACAATTACGGCGCGATGCCGTGACTGGTCCTCTGCCCCAGGATGCATGGGGGTGTTGCAAGCACTGCTGTACGTCCATGGCATTGTGTTTGTTGTAGGTGGCGTGCGAGTGAAAGAGCTACCTGCTTCTAATAACTAGAGCTCGAAGCGAGGATGGGACCCATGCGTCCCCAGGCGCGAGCTCACTTTACGATACGTTATGGCGGCCAGCAACGAATGCTTGCTTGGTACATAGCTAGATCAGGGGCAGGGATGGGCCCCTTAGGATCAAGGCGCCATGTTTCTGGTTTCATTGGTAGCGGCCTGTCACAGATTCTGTGTGGTGTTCCAGACTTCCAGTGCGTGTTGCTCATACATACGGCGGTATCTGGTTCATGCATGGTCGGACTTTCCAGTGCCGGTGCACGGTGGTTAGCCAACTGTGTGCCGTATGTGCGGGTAGGGCGCACGGGCAGTAATGCCCTCCTGTAGATAGTAATACTACATGTTGTACGACACGTGACAACCGGCAGATGCAGCAGCCAATCCGTGTATTACCTCCAAACTCCCAAGGACGCATTGCCTCTCCTAGAGCTGCTCTTCTGTCCGTGTAAGGACTTGCCAAAATATGGCCCTAGCTTTTTAGTCTTCAAAGCTACTGCTCGTCTCAAAAGAATGGGAGTGCACGGGCCTAACACCACCGAAAACCTTGCTACCCACAACCAAAATGCATAACATCCTAACATGCATTGCACCCGCCGAAGTCCCCCTTCTTGCAAGCCTGTGTGCTGTCCCCTCACTCCTGCCTGTCTAACCAGAAGCCCGCGCCTTTCCTACACTCCACCTCACACTCCAGACTCCACCCATCATTCCATAGCATCCCCTTGCCTGTCCTGTCCTGGTGCATTATGACTTGCACCCCTCCCCCTACACGCCAAAGGACTTGCCGCAGCCGCATGAGTCCGTGGCGTTGGGGTTGTGGAATTGGAAGCCGCCTCCGATGAGCGCCGAGCTGTAGCCCAGGCGCATGCCGAAGAGATAGAGCAAGCTCTTGGGGTCGACCACCAGTCGGAATCCGTCCTCATAGGAGATGACCTGATCGTCGGGCGTCACCTTGTCCGCGGATTCGAAGTCCATGCGGTACGACAGCCCCGAACAGCCGCCTGTGCAAGGAAGACGAGGGAGCGCGAGGGCAGCCGTAAGTACGGTAAGTGGAAGGGGAAGAGCGTTATTGCCTTGGCGGGCGGCGAGCACGTGAAGCGCTCGGTGTTCGGGCAAGGTGCTGCAGGAGGCCTTGGCTCATGGGCACGGTACGAAGGCGCTGGAGGGCTATGTAGCCTTGGTGGCACGGAAGGAACAACGGCGTGCTAGGGCAAGGCTGGAACAACAGCGTCGAGAAGGCCAACGTAAGCCGCAATGGCTCTCGAAGGCAATTAAGGCGACGTAACCTACGTAGCTAACCCTGTCAGACCACAGACCTTGCTTCACACCAATTCGCAGCAGAAGGCTGTCTTGTTCCTTATGTTCTGCGCGGAGCTTTCTGAGCTGTTCTAGAGCCTCAGGAGCTAGGGTTATTGCCGGTGCAGGTGAAGCGGTCGAGCCAGCTGTCCGCGAAAAGCAAATTAGCAGGCGGGTATTTGGCATGCCACGAAGGCATTACAATAACCGTAGATAGTATATTATTATTGATAAATAAAGGCAGTCCTCCACGGTGTCTGGACGCTACCGCTCGCAACCTCTCCAACATCTCACAGGCGTTGCGTGTGCACATCTCACCTGCCGCAGTCTCTGCACGAACATTAAGAAAACTACGCCTACATGGCGCTTGAACGCTACGTCGGTGCGGCGCTGGCCGCACGCTGTGAAAAGTCCCCTTCACGAGCATTGAAGTCGCAACTCTGTTAACGTTAAGCGATAACACGCGGTATGCTTCGTTGGAAGTCACAGCACATATGATGCTAGTAGAAAATAAGGCAAGACGGCGTCTTATCATCGCAGACCATTGGCGGATTCGACTTTATTGCAACATCCTCAACATCCCATGCTGAAACGTGACTCAGTTCCTGCGCAAGCTGTTCATGTTCCCCAACGCAATCGCTTTTGCGCCGTCAAGGCTGTCCTCTTCTGACAGCAGCCGCGAGGTCTCGTAGCCGTGGTAAGTGGGGTTGCCGCTCTCCGCACACGTTGCCGCCGGTGTAATGCGCCTGGCGATTGCCTCCAGTCCAGCGTAGACTGTGTCGAACATAAAACAGGGCACAGAAATTTCGAGGTTAAGAGGACGTTGGTTTTCAGGGCATATGTTCATGCGGCGAGCCCAAACCAACCGTTCCTAGTTCCAAATGCAAGCTATCTAGCGTGCTGTGAACTTGCCTAGGACCATGCCGGCGAGCGCGAAGATCATGTGGAAGGAGTAGGAGACCGGCAGGAACATCGCCGGCGCGGCGTCGTTGTTGTGGTCGTCATCCCAAAGCGTGATACCTGCGCCGACATAAAGCGGTTGCAACTAGGGGTCAACACCCAAGCGCAAAACCGCCCATACGCCACTCCTCTCACGGTAAAACATACCCAAAGCCATAACCGCAAGCAGGCTACCGGCGTCCGCGCCATCGCCCACACCCCTGCAGACACAACATCCACATTCCTCAGCGCACCCCACCCCGGCCCTCCTCCTCCTCAGCCCCTCACCCTCAAACAGCACCCGCGCCGTCTGGATGAACCAGCTGCCCTGCAGCAGCATGGATCCGATTCGCCCAACAGAGAGCAGGAAGTTCTCGGGGTATGCCGCCTCCAGCGCCGCGAATATGGCGCCCGCCCAGCAGGTCTGCGCCAGCAGGAAGTGCACGCGCGAGTCCACGGCGCTGTCCTTGTCGTGCAGGGTGAACAGGAGGGCCTCAATGAAGAAGCCGAAAGAGAGGAAGGCCTGCAGGGGGAGGGAGGAAGAGGGCGAACAAGGGGAGGAGCCCAGACAAGGTGAGTCCAGGACCAATAAGGCGCTGGATTGGGATTCGGAGCTGTCTAGCTGCATGGGGCGGGGTCAAGAAGGGTCAGGTACGAGAGGGGAAAGCACCAGGGGAGTATCTGGGCCGTGCATGCTGGGACTGGATTAGAATTGCCGACGTATGGGAGCACCAAGGGAAGCCCGATGGAATGCCAACACGGTGCCTGGCCAGGTCAGGGCTCGCTTTGAAGGGGCGCTGAGGACCGAACAGCGTTTGCTGTGGCGCAATGGTTTTGCCAGCCGACTTGCCATGTTGGTGCCGCTTGGAAACCGGGAGTGGGCGCTTAGGAGCTCAACAAAGCCTGCGCGTTGCAGTGGCGGGATATGATGGGGGGGGGCGCGCATTAGTTAAGTGAAATAGAAGGGCCAGTACTGCTCAGGTGTGTTCGCAATCAGGACCGCAAGAGAAGTTGCAACAGAGCCCTACATGGGCACCGGGCAACATTGCACATCGATACACCAGCCACGCATTACTGCAGGATGGCAAACCCAGGTCGCCATGCTTCGATGCGCCCCTGTTCCTGCCTCTCACCGGAAAGGCTGTAGCCCAGGTTCATGGTTGCGTGCGACCAGGAGTTGATGTGTTGCGTAGCGAAGTGGCCGACACGGATACCGTCGGGGCACACCAGGGTCCTGGGAACAGAAGCGGATGACACACAGGGACATAGCACATGCAGTGCAGCGTAAGGACCACGGGTAGGACGGCAGCCTTGTTGGGGGCGTGCGTGAATCACCAAAAACGTGGGTGCGTGCTGACCTGTACAGCAACTGATGGCGCAGGACAAGCAAGTGAACAAGGCGGCTTCGTCGGGAACTTACTTGTAGCCACCGTAAGTGATTTGCAAGATGAAAAGCAGCAACCCGCCAAAAGCCTTGAGAATGGACTCCACAGGGTACCTACGAACGGAAGGATAGGAGCTGCGGTTGAAGCCAGGTTTCATAGACAGACGCCAGGTCTACGGGCGAAATAGTACACCCTAAGGCATCCCCATTGCCTAGTAGAGCCACAGCGCACTGTACCCACGGGCAGCGGCACGTCTGCGACACGCCATGCCCCACGTGCCTTTCTACACCCATGCGCTTCTAAAACCGCTGCGCTCCTTAAAAGAGCGCCACAGGGGTGCCTGCGGCAGCACGGCGTGACGCACCTGTTGAACCCCTTCAAGCCGGGCACCATAGTCAGCAGCCCCTCCGTGGACCGTGACTGGTACGGCCTGCCCGCCCGCATCGCTACTATGTGGCGCCAGCTGGCAGATATGAACCACTGCGAAACACGTGGTTTGAACCATATGGAAAGCGGGCGGCGGAAAATAGTATGAAAGAGGCCCAGGTTCAGCTTGCACGCACATGCGCTCCCCAGATGAGGAATATTGTTCCAGGGAACACGTGCCCCTGCCAGTTGCCCTGACGCTCGGGGGTTGGCGAGCCGTCGCATTTCATCATAGAGGGCATTCCAGACATAGCCCCGCCGGACATGCCATCATTGTGGCCCGTCATTGTATTCAGAGGCCTATACTCAGAGCTTTATTGTAAAATCTCGGTGCAACTGGGGATACTCCAACTCAAAATGAGTTCAAAGAGGTGTATTACTGCAAGCCCTGTCGTTATATGCAAGGCACGTAAGACCTTTCCAATAGTATTGCTCCTTTCCCAATGCAGTGTAACATCGGGTAAAACAGCGGCGTGTTTATAACATCATGAAGTGTACGGCCTTGTACGCGAAGTAACCGGTGACAAATTGCAACAAAGCATGTTGATCAGCATAGGGTCTGGACCAATTCATATAGAACATTAACTTCTTCCCAGAATACTATTACAAGGAGCTTGGACGCGAGCAAAGGTCTGGCAACATCCTGCCCTCTATACAGAAGTACAGTAAGCCATGCCTAGGGAAATTATTAATTTACAAGTAGGCCAATGCGGAAATCAAGTAGGAAGCGAGTTCTGGCGCAAGGTACGCTGCCTTCAAACGGCCATGGAACAGCTTTGCGAAATTCGCCCCAGTGTGGCTGGAGACCTTCCCCGGTTCTTAATCGCAGCTATGTCAAGAGCATGGCATAGCCAAGGACGGTCGCTTGGAGGACTTTGCAACGCTGGTGGGTGCTTTCGCGCCAATGTGCCCTTTGGCCTTCATGAATGACTATCTGGAAACAACAGGCATCAACACGGTAATTCTGTGCAGGGAGGCGACCGCAAGGATGTGTTCTTCTACCAAGCCGACGACGAGCAGTACATACCACGTGCTATCCTTCTAGACCTAGAGCCCCGGTAGGCTCGCGGCTGCTGTAGACTTGCCTGCAAGATGAGGGGTAAAAGTGGGGTAAGTAGTTGAGCGTCTGTTTGATCATTCGCAGAGTGATCAACGGCATCCAAACCTCGGACCTGCGGAATCTGTTCAACCCGGAGAACATCTTCATCTCAAAGGAGGGTGGTGGCGCTGGCAACAACTGGGCTAGCGGCTACACGCAGGGGGAGGCAGTGCAGGAGATGCTTTTAGACATGATTGGTAGGTTGAAAGGTGTCTGCCTGGGTACCGGTATTCAAGACTATCCAAAGGGCGCACCCCGCAACGACCCGCAACCCTTGCCATACCGGCATGTCTATGCCTTGAAAGGAGTCCTGAAGGCGTACACAAGGCCGCTTTGTCCGCACCGGAACCGGAAAGTCATGAGCGCAAAGCACTGCCTTGCACCCGGCACCCATCAAACCCATTCCCCATGCATCCCTGCTTCCGCCCGCTCCAGACCGAGAAGCGGAGTACTGCGACAGCCTGGAGGGTTTCAACATGTGCCACTCCATTGCGGGTGGTACGGGCTCGGGCATGGGCTCGTACATGCTCGAGCTGCTGAGCGACCGCTACAGCAAGAAGCTCATACAGACGTACAGGTAGGCCCACCGTGGTCACGACTGTGCGCACGAGTACACATCGCAACAGTCCGACACTGCATCGCATGTTGCATGTGTTGTTAAACCCGACGCGATCTGGGTCGGTGCGTCGGCCCACGTTTCCCACCGTCTTGCACCCCTGCCACGCGTTCCGTGTCCGTCGCAGCGTTTTCCCCAACCAGTCCGAGTCAAGTGACGTGGTCGTGCAGCCGTACAACTCGCTGCTCACGCTCAAACGCCTCACGCTGCATGCGGACGCGGTGGTGGTGCTGGACAACACGGCGCTGGACAAGATTGCGGTGGAGCGGTTGCACCTGCTCAAGCCCGACGTGCAGCAGATCAACAGCCTCATCGCGACGGTCATGGCGGCATCCACCACGACGCTGCGCTACCCAGGTGGGTCAGTTGGAAGGGGGGCGGAGCGTTCGGAGAGCGGCGAGGGTGGAGCATGAGTGCTATACTAGCATCGCTGTGAAGAGAAGGGATGCGGAGCTTTAGATGCTTGTGCGTTTATGTAATCGCCGCAACATACCTGAACATCGAGCCTTGCCATGGAGCTGGCCTGACAGCAGCCCAACACCGTCTTGTCATGCCCTCCTGCCGCCGCCAGGCTACATGAACAACGACCTGGTGGGCCTGGTGGCGTCGCTCATCCCCACCCCGCGCTGCCACTTCCTCATGACGGGCTACACGCCGCTCACGGCGGAGAACGCGGCGGGCCAGGTGACGTCCAACATCCGCAAGACGACGGTTCTGGACGTCATGCGGCGCCTGCTGCAGCCCAAGAACATCATGGTGCGGGCGGCTGCAATGGCTGCTGCTTGGGTGTGCTGCGGGGAGTACAAGGACCAGTCACCAGGGCGGCGGTTTCCAGCAAAGGATTAGGGGATTGGGACTGGCTTGGCATGCAGCCAGGAGACCTGCCCATGCCGTTGGGCAGGCCACAAGGAAAGCATGCGCATTCCCGCATGTTCCAACCCACTTCTGGAAACAAAAGCCCAACCGCTTTGCCCCACCCCCCCTCGCGCGCAGGTGTCCACGCACACCAAGTCTCGCGACATCAGCTCCGCCAAGTACATCTCCATCCTCAACATCATCCAGGGCGAGGTGGACCCCAGCCAGGTGCACAAGAGCCTGCAGCGCATCCGCGAACGCAGGCAGGCAAACTTCATCGAGTGGGGCCCGGCGAGCATCCAGGTGCGCTTTTTTGCTAGGCGCATTTATGACGCTGTCTACAGTGCACCCTCCTCTTCCAGAAGGGAGCCGAAGAGCTAACTTCTGTCGAAAGCATTTGCTCCTTCTACCGGTACTGTTCTATAACGCACCGTTTTCGTGCTGTGCTGTGCCTTCGCAGGTGGCTCTGTCCAAGAAGAGCCCCTACGTGCAGACGGCGCACCGTGTGAGCGGGCTGATGCTGGCCAACCACACGTCCATCCGGCACCTCTTCAACAAAGTGCTGCGAGACTACGAGAAGCTGATGGGACCCAAGCAGGTAGGCCGAACGCTGGGTAGGATTGCATCCACCTGTTGCCCATGTGCCTGTAATGCTGAATGCACTCGCTGGCTCTTCAGGTGGAACGTTTAGGGCGTGTGACCTGGCTTAAATAGCTCTATAACACGGTTGCTTCTCGTGCGTCCGCTGCTGCTGCTTCTGTCTCGCAGGAGCGCCAGGCGTTCATGCAGGCGTACAAGGACGTCCCGCGCTTCAACGACGGCGGCACCGGCACGGCGCTGCTGGAGGAATTCCACGACGCCAAGGAGGTGGTGACGGAGCTGGCCAACGAGTACGCGGCATGCGAGTCGGCCGACTACGTGAGTGCGTTCGACTGCTGGGGGCTAGGGTGACCCGTGGGTCACACACCCTGCCGCCTAAGGATGGCAACGGTCTTGGCCCCCTGCCCTGCTTGACAATGTCGTATTCGTAACAGAGTACGACGGTTATTATGCCGCCTCCGTTCTAAGCTTCAAGGCAGTTTGCAAACCGGCACGAAAGCTACATGCAACTAGCCCTTTCTCCACCCTTACTCCTCTACAGATCCAGCGCCAGATGATGGCGTAAGAGGCTGAAGCGTTCTAGTTCGGGAGGGCTTGTACATACCGCGTGCGGCGAAGCGATGGCGGACAAGGACGGCAAGGGACCGTCGACGAGGCTGCGTGGAGTGCTAACATTACAATGCCGGGCAAGGCCCCAAAACAGCCCGTGTATCATGTGCTACAGCTATTGTGCTCGTATGGTGTTATCCTCGGAATCAGTCACTGTAACAATGCGTACACTCATCTATCCACATTGTAGGATATGTCTGTCTCAATAGGAGGGAAGAGATAAAAGTGCAGAGGCGGGGTTGTCAAGGTGTATGTTGTCCAACCATGGGTACGGCTATCAACTTTCGATGGTCAATTCAGTCAACCTGCCTGTAACTACGTGCCTTAATGCCCCTACCGTCCCGACTTATGTACGGCCTTCCATTACCACGACAAGCATGTGGCAACAAGGCCAAAAGCATGCCCATTTGGATTCAACGGCATTTTGGTATTAAAAGGGACAGCACATGCCCAACTTAAGAATGGATAGAATAGTGCAGTACAAAAGAACGACTGTCTTAGAAACATTAGTAAGGCGCCTCCACAGCACAGCTTCAACCCGCCCGCGCGTATGTCTGCATGAATGCTTGCACAACATTACTAGGCATGCGCTAACTGCGTAACCACACATACAGCTCCAAACAGCCCAGAGGGAGGCAAACAGAAAGACTGCACAATCAAAGGCGAAACCGCGTCACAGGAAATCCCGGCGCAACTGTCATTAACACACTCTCTCCAGGTACGGTAATGAAACCGAATGCAGTTCTAACGAGGTAGGAGGGGTAGAGGGTGCTCGCACCCCGCGATGCTTCATGCAACGGCGTGGCAGGGATCTAGAGCATCCCAATGCCCAGCGAATCCGGCCAAGCCAGCTGTTGTCGGGGCCACAAGTTGCTAGCGTAGTTGGTGTCAAAGTCCAGCGGCGGCAGTTGGCCCCAGGTGTGGGCCTGCAATGCAAAAGGATGGGGCACGAACACTCTAAAGAGGCCCAAATCCCAAACCAGCAAGCAGAAATCCTCAAGGGCATAGGGATGGACGCAGATCATGGTGATTTTCAGGAGAGCAACAACACTAGAAACGCGGACTGCTTACCGGCTGCTGCTGCCCAAGGCCGCGCGGCAAGTGTGGTCGCCCGGTCAGCTCTTGCAGCAAACGGGGCGAAAAGGGCGACAAGTTGAGCGGAGACTGCAGCCGGGGGCATCCGCCTGGCAACCCAGCCGCACCGTGCTGCTGGCCATTGCCACCGCCAATGCTGCTTTCCCCTCCGCCGACGCCGCCACCATCACTTACGTTTATCTCCGGCCCCGTGATCCCGCCATCTGACCCGAGCTCTAGCAGCCCAGTTCCCCCGGCACCACCGCCGCTGAGGAGGCTGCTTCCGTCCGCAAGGCCTCCGACCCCATCCAGTCCCACACCAATGGCCAAGTGGTCGAGCCATTTGGGTTCGGCTGGCAGCCCGATGCTAGTCCCGGATATTGAGCACTCCCGTGCTGCTCGCCGCTCTACCTCTGCCACTGCTGCCGCCACGTCTTCCGCCACTCCAGCCACGTCTAGGGCGCTAACGCCGTCATCGTCGATGCCCTCATGGCAGACGAGTGCTGCGCTGCTGTCGTCGCCGCAGCCACCGGGCAGCGCGTCCGAGTGGAGGCCCATGTGGGCAGGGTCGCCGCCGTTGGGGCTTTGATGTGCGGAGTGGAGTGGATGAGAGCGGAGGCGCTCATGGTGGTACTGCTGGAGGGGTTGAAGCGGCTCCTGTTGAAATTGCTGCTGCGGGAACTGCTCCTGTTGGAGAAGGTGGTGGTGGAAGTGCTGCTGCTGGTGGTGGTGGTGGTTGAACTGCTGTTGGAGGAAAAGGTGCGGCTGGTGGAATGGGTGCGGCTCATGCGGGTCAGCAAAAGCCTCCACCTGCGCAGGTAGGAGGTAGCCCATGTATGCTGGGGCCTGCTGGCCTGACAGTCCCTCCAGCGCAGGTACAGTCCCGAGCTGTCCTATGTCCTCATCCTGCTCGTCCTCTGACTCGTCTCGCCGCCGCTTTCGCTGCTGGCGTGGCCGCTGTTGCCGCCGTTGCCGCTGCGGCCGCTTCTCGGCTTCCGAATCCGTATCCTCCCTGGCCACGGCGCGCGCCTCACCCTGCTCATCTGCGTCCTCGCCGTCGGACTGGCCGCTGTACGACAGGTCTGGAGCGGCCTCGCTGGACGCCACGAGCACGACGACCCCTGGGTCATCGCCGCAACAGAAGCCGCGCATGTATAGGCCGCGAAGGTAGTTGTATATGCCAGTGCCCTGGTACACGTCATTGGAGAAGGGTTGGAAGGGTGTTTCAGAGACCTGACTATTTTCAACAGGAGGGAAACCCAGTTTTGGTGAGCAAGGGGCCATCTCGATTTGGAACATGTAGTTGCCTTCACTGTTGAGGTAGCATCGCCGTCCTGGTATCGTGCTGCTTGGTGTGACAACAAGAATCTTGGGTCTGGAAACATCCATCTGCATACCTGTAGGCGGTATGAGACACATGACGTCTTGTTGTTGACGTGCTTCTTGATGGTGCACTTGTAGAGGTCCGGTAGCTTCTCTCCATCGATCTGCGCCAGCAAGCACGCAAGGTACGGTTACAAAACTGAGGGGTTCACCTTGCTGTGCACCTTGCACCGCTTGGCATTATTAAAATACGTTATAATCATTTCCCCCACATTCCTCCACACAGCATGACGTAAATCCACGCTGATAAGCACCCTTCATGACCAAGCCTGCCCAACTAACCTGTAACTGCAGGTTTACTGCGTATGAATTGACCGAAAGGCAGCCTGGGATTGCCGCCTTGAGGTGCTTGCGCTTGATATCGAGCTTGCACTTCTTGCTGACTGGAACCTTGGTCGCATTCTCCGATGCCTGGACGGCAATGACAGACGTAACCGCCTTGTGTAATGTGCTATTTCCTCAATTTCCTCGATTACAATGTTGTATAATATAACCAGTGTATCCTCGTTATGCTTAGCACTGGACGAGAGTGTTGTAATGTAGCATCGCACACCATCGTCTGCGGGAGCATTAGTCGCTGCAGCCCACCGGTTGCGCTTACCCTGCGCACGATCCTCCCGGAGACTCCTGTGCGCCGCTGGGGCTGGCGGTCTGCCCTCAGCGCCAGCATCCTGGCGCCCCTGCCAGAATGCGAATTGAAACTGCAATTCTTACAATACGTCTTACCCTTGTGCTTAGAATTTGAAGTTCTTAAGTTTTGTGCAAGTTTCTCTGGCTGCATCAGTACATGGCAGAGAGTTTCCTAAAACTTATACGGCAGCATTCTGGATCCCAATATGAAACATTGTCCGTGCGCTGCTGGCTTAAGCGATGTTTGGTATAACTTATATTAAGGCGTATACCCTGTCGAGTCGCTATGCTACGTTAGTCCGCACGTGCTTAATGGCGACGATGGTGTCGTTGGACACATGGGATGTAGGACTGGCTCTTCTCCGCAAGTGGTCGTATCCACCTCAACTGACTGCATGACTCCATGCCATAGAAGCATGCATTTGATCACCAGTGCATGTCACACGCCATGTTTTGCCCTGGAAAATACCCAGCCCAGGCAGCAGGCCCCGCTAACCTTCAAGGCGCGTCAGGCAAGGGCACGGCACGCTTGCTTTCCCATGTTACATTTGCACCGCAAGCGGCGATCCAACGCAACAGCCAATAAAATCTCAGCCCTTAGCCAGGCAACGGCCGTCGCAGCTTCAAGAGCCTGTCATGGAACGGAGACGGCGCAAGGCATGAAGAGAAGCCCCCAGGGTTGCGCGGTCGCTCGCCGTACCGACGGGGCAGCGTTCCGCCCAACACCGCTTGGAGGTCCGCGCAGAGCAGCTCCCGCTCCTCACTCACCGTCCCGCTGAGCAGGCCCGATGTCCCTCGACGGCTGCCACGGCCTGCCACACGAACACACCGAGGACTCAGCAATCGATAAACTCACAACCACCTGTTGCTCTCAATCGCAATTGTCGCAGTCCCCGCATAGCACCAAGGGCGCATCCTCCCTCCCCTCAACATGCCCCCGGAACTTTACGCACCTGTGTTGGCTCGCGCCCGCAGCACCCCCGCCAGCGCCTCCCGGTCAAAAGGCAGCGGCGCCAGCAGCTCCAACACGTCCGCGATGAGGCGAGGCTTGATGGCGCGGTCCAGCGGCGTGTCTAGGCCCATGCTAGGGCTGCTGTTCACCTCCAGCAGCCACACCTGGCAAGCAGCGGGGGGCAGCAGGAAGCGGGTTGGGGAGAGAAATCAGGCCAGAGGGTCTTATTACGCGGCACTAACCGAAAAGCCCCATGAAGAACGTAACGTAACTGTTGCCTATCCTCGTGCTATCACGCCCGCCCATACCTTTTGCTGTGCGTCGATCATCATGTCAAAGCCAAACAGCTCGAAGCTGTTGGGCGAATGCGGAATGGCATCCTGGGCCGCAAACAGCGCCGCTGTTGCCACCTCGCACACGCGACACCACAACGTCGACCACTCCACACCCTGACGCGCCAGCAGCTGCCGCAGCGTTGCCAGGCTGGTCTTGGAGCCGCCCGCGGGCTCTGCAGCAGCGCAGGGAGCGTTGCAAGGACAGAGGCATTGCAGGGAACGTTGAAAGGATGGCCGAGAGCAAGAGGACAGGATGGAGAGCAAGAAGGAAGTACAGATAGCGGTAGTACGGTACAAGATGCTGGTACCACAGAACCGGTATTTAGAACGGAGGAAGGCGCGGTCGTCAGGGCAACATTGCTTCCTCTAACTTCATCCCCAGACTTCTTAGCCAGTGCCGTACCTGCTGCCTGCAGGAAGGGCGGCAGCAGCCCCGCATCTGCCCGGGTGCGCTGCACGGAGGAGTTGGTCAGGTGCACGTGCATGTTGCACAGCTCCGCCTCGTCCAACGTGTACGGCAGGGTGGTGAACCTGTGTACGAACAAGCGCCGTACCGCCGTAAGATCAATACACACAGGAGCCAAGAGGATGTCCACAGGGGGGTTGTTTTGTCGAGGGACTGAGAAACCAGGAATCGCAACCCCCCTTACCGGTAGTTCCTACACGCCAAGGACATCGCCATAACGCTCAACGCAATAACCATGCAACGGTTCAGTTATTAGTGCGAACCAAATGCGGCCCATGCGTGTTTCCAACCACTGCACCCCGTGAAGTGTGTTGTGTTGTGTCTTGCCTCGTGCGCTGCTGCCAGGCGGCCCCTCCCACCTTGCGAAGCCCTCCTCGTACATCCAGGCCTCCAGCGGGTTAAAGGAGGTGACCAGCACGTACAGCCGCAAGTCGAACTTGAAGCCCTCCACCAGCAGCGGCTCGGTGAGGTACCTGCGGGGCGGCAGGCAGAGGTACGGCAGGTCGAAGCAGGTTAGGAAGGTCAGGAAATCTAGGCAAAAGTTGGAGTAGGTAAGAATGGTCAGGAAAGTTAGGCGGGTTAGACAAAGCCAAACCACGAGGTCACAGCTGACTGCAGCAGTCAAAGAGGTGTGAAGGTGGTGGGGAACAAACTACACAACAGCACTCAACAGCGCAGCGCACCTCTGTACGACGGTGGGTTCCGCCGCATTGAGCTTCCGTAGCGAGCTGATGAGGCTGATGCCGCGCCCCCGGGATAGCCCCACGGGCTTCTGGATCCACAGGTTAAGACCCACCGGCTGCGGGGCAGAGGAGGAGAACAATGAAGAACAACCATTGTGTTCAGAGGAAAGGAGGATACCCAATGTGTTAGGGGGAAAGAAGAATACCGGTACCGGTACCCAATATGTTGGGGCGCAGTGGCGGACGGCAGGGCGGGCCAGCAAGCAAGTGGTCGGGACATGCAGGAGAGATCCTGTGCGGGACCTGTGCTTTCGACCTCTGGTGGGTTTTTGGTTCCTAAGTGGTTGTCTGCACGCTGGCGTCCTTTGCTTGCTGGCATGCGTATGTTGCATGAGTTTCACGCAGGGTACCATCTGTTTGAGTCTACTTCCGCTAGGAGGGGGGGAAAACGCGCTCGCGTGAGTGGCGTTAACTATCCTGTGGAATTTTGGTACGATGCACCTGCTTCTGCCCCTGTTTCTGTCCCTACTTCTGACATTGCTGTTTGTGCAACTCTGCCAGCTCCCTTCTCTGTCTCTAAGGGATTTGCACTGCAGTTCAAGGGTTCTGTTTGCCATTCGGACGCTTCTGTCTTGCTTGACACTGGTTGCCAGGCCTCGCATCTTCTTAGTGCAGGTTTTGCGCGTCGCATCGGCTTGCAAGTGTCAGCACCGACGGCTAACGACCCTACGCCTTCTGTCGTCATGGGAGATGGTTCTTCTGTACCTATGGTGGGCTTTGCCAATGTGCCTGTGCGGTTGCAAGGGTACAAGGGTAGGCTTCGCTGTGCGGTTTTGGACCTCGCCCCTGGCTTTGATCTGATTCTTGGTGATCCCTGGCTGCGTGCTAACGGTGCCATCATTGAGTTCCATGAACGCCGTGTGCGCTTGACTGCTTACTCCGGTAAACCAGTGCTGCGTAATGGACCCTTTGACCCCGTTCCCCAGCCCTGCGATGCTGCCGAGTTTGCTTTCCTACAGGCTCAGCGTGATGGCGATGAGTTCCTTCTGTGTATGGTTCGCAAGGTGGATGCTGAGGCTGAGGCTGCCGCTCAACCGCCTGCTCCATCGTCGCCACCGGCACCTCCGACTTTTTCACAAAAGGTGTGTACCGCTGTGCCTGGTGAATCGCCTGTAGATCTGCGTATGCGGGCTCTTCTGCTGGAAAAGGAACACCTGTCGGGAACAGGATGCTTCCGGGATGGTGTTATAGCTGTCGTACGTCTTGGATTGTGTTGTACGACGTACGAACCACTGCAGGTACGGTAGCGGTTATGACATGGACTTTATGGTACGGTGCGCACCCACCTGCACACAGGTCGCCTCGACGCCATGTAACGCCCGCACGAAGGCCTCCTCAAGCGCTGCTGCCTCCTTGGGAAGCACGAAGGTGGTGGGAGTCAGCCGGTCGAACAGAGAGGCGGCGCGACCTGTGTTGTGCATGGCCTGCGGGAGGAGAGGAGGAAGGGCACCGTCCGCAGGAGCGAAGGGTCGCGTGGCGCAGCAGCACAGCAGCCTCATCAACCACCGCTCATTGCGCGGAGGCATGTCTGGGATGACTGGACGTCATATTGTGATATCAAACAGGAAAGTACGTTGAAAGTCGAAGCAGCAAGCACTACGGGTCTTGCACAATGGAGTTCCAAGCACGCCAAGGCAAAAACAACTTGACAAGGCCAAGTAGGACACTCCCCAAGCCCCAACATCCCACCGGTATACTAAGGCCAGCTGCGGTCAAGGTATTTCCCACGGTTCCGTTTATCTACCGGTATTCCCCAAGCCCCCAGCCCCAACATCCCCCCAAGTGCCCACCTGGTACTTGGCGAGGTGCTTCTTCAGCAGGTCCTTCCGCGTCAACTGCCGCGCCTCAGCGAAGTGGTTCACGCGCTGCCACACCAGCAGCTCATTAGCCGGCACCCGCACCTTGACGCTCCAGCTCCATAGCACATTCCACAAGTGGCAGCGGCCGCCGCCGCCGGCGGTGGCTGCTGCTACTGCGGCGGCGGCGGCGCCGCCGCCGGATGTCCCTCCGGCGGACCCTGGCGGCGTCGAACTTGACCCTGATGCATCCCGCCCTGACAGCCCGCTGGCAAGCCCTGATAGCGTGCCCCTACTGGTCAAGCCGCCTCCCGAAAGTGCCGTACCCGGGCGGCTGTTGGCGGCGCTGGAGGTTCCGCTGCCGCCGCCGTTCACGTCATCGTCCGCGGAGGGGTCCGGTCTCGCCAACTCCGTCACCTGGTCCGCCGGGTCTAGCGCCCATGCCGGCGACAGCAACTGTACGGCAGCTGTCACGACGTTCCGTACCTCCGGATGCGCGGTATCGTCAATGATGGCGACGTACTTACGCACCTGTGGCGGAGGTGACAGCAGCGTGGGAGGCGGCGGCGGCGTCCCGCCGCCGCCACTACTGCCCGACCGGCCCCCCAGGAGCTGCGAGGAGGTCGTGGTTGCGGATAATAACGAGGGTGCTGCCGTCCCTGTTACCGCGGTTGCTGCTGCTGCAGCTGGGGCCACTGCCCAGCCTGCGTTGGCGCCCATCCCAGGCCCTACTTCCTCCTCGGGAGCCGCCTGGCTGAGTAGCCGCAGCTTGGCCTGCCAGGCCTCACATCTGGCCAGCAGTCCCGCATAACGTTCCAGGAGGTCCAGGCCGCTTGCGGCGCCTGTGATGGCCGCCATCATGCGGGATGCAGGTCGGCTGTTGCTGCCGCCGCTGCCGCCGGCAACGGTCGCCACCGAGGCGGAGGACAACGCGGCTGCGTCGAGCATGACGGGCAGGGCGCTGTAGCAGAGGGTGAGGATTTCGTGGAAGGTACTGAAGAATTGCAGGTAGGAAGCGCCGGGATTGGGCTCTGGGGCGGCGGAGGCGGAGGCGGGGGCAGACGGGGTGCCGCTTCCAGAGGTGGTAGCGGACCCCGCGGTTCCGCCGGCACTGCCACCGCCGCGGAGAGAGCTTGACGCTGCGCCGCTGGAGGAGGAGGAGGAGGGGCCGGCGGAGTTGGAACGAGGCGCTGCGGAGGAGGCGGGTGCAGGTGGTTGCGGTTGCGCCTGCACGGAGGGCCCCAGCGGCGGCCTTCTAGCGGGCGATGCGACTGCAACTGCAGCAGCAGCAGGAGTGGCGGACGCCGCAGCTGCTGACGGAGGCGGCGCTGCTGACGTGGAGGTAGACGTACCTCCAGAAGGACGAGCTGATGGCGCCAACCGCGGCTGTGGAGACGTGCGGCCGGCCTTCCGTCGTGCGCGTCTCGCAGCCCCTCCGACCCCGTCGCTCGCGCAACCATCCGCTTCGCCGTCGCTGCTACAGCTTTTGCTTGCTGCGCTAGCTCCGATACCACCTCCAGGCTCCGAGCCCGTACCGCCATTGCTGCCTCTCCCTCCGCTCCCAGCGCTACCCAGCCGCGACGACGCCCCTGTCTCAACCTGCCGGGAGCTCCTGCGGTTTGATCCCGCAGAGCCCACAGACCGAAGAAGAGGCGGACCTGGGTGTACCGGAAGCGCCGCCAACCCGTGTGCTCCAGGCGGTCCCTGGACAAGCGACTCTGGCGGCACGTGCTGACCCGTGGGTCGCAGCGTCCGCAGGTGGCCGCCGCCGCGCATCATGGGGTCCTGCTCCTGCTCCGTGGCCCAAGCTGACAGCGAGTCGGTGCTGTCTGCGAGTTCCCAATCCGCCCAGCGGTCCACTCGCATGGGACCGGAGGCAATCACTGCCCGGGCGAGCGGAGTGGCTGCCGGAGGGCGAGGGTAGGGAGACAAGCGGGAACAAGGGGCCGAGAACAAGGGTCAGGGAGCCGAGTGCGTGACAAGGATGGAATGCTACCACGGTACAAGTTCGAGAGGGATAAACGCAGCGCAGCGGGAGTCGGGCCTCGAGGTACGTGAGTCACCGATACCACCCCAGGAATGTCGGTACAGCAACGAACGTCCTCCAACCTACCCGGGGTCACATAGGACGAGGGATCTGCGGCGCTGCGCCCCTGGATTGCCGCGGCCGCCGCCGCTGCAATCGCCCGCCGTCGTGCTTCCTCCTGCTGCTGCTGCTGCTGTCGCTGCTGGTGGACATCCCTTCGCGAGCGCCCCTTCCCAGCCCGGTCTGACCCGTAGCCGTCGTTGTCGCCATCACTCTCAGTGCCCGGCTCCGATTCCGTGGCCACAGTCTCCGCCTCCCCAACCACCTCCCGCTGCACTGGCTGCTCGCCTGCATGTGCGGCAGGCGGTGCTGCGGCGTGCGGCGCTGCTGCCCATGCACTGCGGGGGGCTGCTACTGCCGCCGCCGCCTTCGCCGATGGCCCCGAAACCAGCACTGCTTCCACCGCCGGTTGCTGCGTTGCAGCAGCTGAAGCGGCTGAGGACATGGGGCCGGCCGGTCGCATGGTGACGGGGAGTGAGGGCAGACTAGACCTGGACGGCCCGACCTCAGACTGCTGCTGGTGCTGCCGTGCAGTTGAAAAGGAGGGCCCTCTTGCCGACGCCGGCCGTGTGTCATGCCGCGGCGCAACGTAACTGGGGCTTGCATCCTGCTGTTGCTGCTGCTGTCGCTGTGGCTGCTGCGCTTCCTCTTGGACACCATACGAGGCACCGGAGGCGCCAGAACTGACGGATTCGGGTTCGGAATCCTCGCCGGCTGCTGCTGCAGCTGCTGCGTTGCGCGCGACTGCTGCTTCCGCCTCCGCTGCTGCCGCTGCCTCCCGCATGACGGCCGCTAGGAGGTCACTGGACTCCTCGTCGGTCTGAGGGTACGTGCGGGATACGTTCCAAAGAAGGGGTTGCGCAATTGCTCTATGGTCGGCTTTATCGGGTTGTTTGTCCTTGGGTCATATGCTTCCAGAACGTGATCACTTACGCAATCCAACATGATGTTGGCAACATCCCAGTAGCATGAGTGCATGCCTCCATGCCTACCATGCAACCTGAGAGCCTCTTAGAAGCCGCTCGGCCCCCTTGCTCCAATGGCTCCTGTGAGTACCGGTACCCCGCCAGGACCCACCCACCCACCCACCTTGACGCTCTCCGGTTCCGAAGCCTCCCGCTGCTGTCCCGCCGTCTCCCCAGCCACCACCGCCTGCGTCCGCGCCTGCAGCCCCTGCTCCTCAGCCACGGTATCCGCCTCCACCGCCCCCGCCCCCGCTGCTGCCGAGGATGCCATCGGGGATGCTGCGGACGCCATTGCTGTGCCCTGTGCTCCTGCGTTTGCTGCCGCAATGCCATGCGCTTGCGCCCTCGCGGCGCTGCTGCCCGCATGCGCAGCAGCAGCTGCGGCCGCCTTTCCGGCGGGACTGCCGCCTACCCCAGCTTGCCGCGTCGCAGCGGCAGCGCTTGCGTTTCCCGCTACCCCAGCTTTGCTGCTGCTAGCGCCACTGCCAATGCCATTACTAATGCTGGTAGGGGTGCTAGCGGCAGCGGCAGTTGCCCCATGCGGCGATGGAGCTCCACCAGGTCGAGCCCCAGGCCCCGACCCAGCTCCGGGACCCGCCGGGGAACCCCCGCTGCCACAGGATGACCCACGGGTCGGCCGAGGGGCCGGCCCGCCTCGCGTGGAGCCTGCCTGGGAGGTCTCGCACGCCACTGGTGGCGGCGGGCTGTGGTAGTGGTGGCTGTGGTGGCTGTGCGGCTGGATGGGCGTGGCGGAGGGCTTCCGAGCTGGGGGCTTGGCCGGGGGCCCCTTTCGAATGGCCTTGCGAGCCTGCAGGGATTGCACGACGGGTGCGGACAATGACACAAACACACCAACGCCTGGTACGAACCCTAACATTGCAGCCCGGTGAGAGCCTAGGACGCAGACGGGAACCTGTTTTGGCCCTTTTTGCGTGCTGCCCCAGCCCCAGCATCACCTTTCGCAACAGCCGCTGCTCTTCCTGGAAGGCCTTCATAGCCGCCTCCCACACGCTTAGCGGCTTGCCACCATCTCCGCCACCTCCTCCTGCTCCTCCGCCGGCTGGCCCCTGATAGCCACCGGCACCCTCCGCGGCCTCAGCCTCCTCAGCGTTGCCGGCTGCTACATCCGCTAGGGAGCTTTCTGCAGCACCGGTGACACTGCTGCTGGTAGCTAAACTACATGCGCTTCCCTCTGCCCCGCAGACATAATGCTGCAGCTTGCTTCTGGCGCCTGGCGTCGATGCCGCTGACAACGAAGGCGACGCCAGCGCCCCAGCGTCCACCGTCCCCGCATGAGCAGGACTTCCAATGTCGCTGTCGTGTCCGAGTGGGCTGAGTCCTGATACCAGTCCCGGGCCGCCGGGGCCGCCGGCTCCGTCGCCACTGCAGCGTCGTGGCGGCGAGGTGGGAGGGAAGGACGGCTGCGGCTGCAAGGGCAGCTGCAGGCCTGACGGCTGACGACGCAACTGCATGGGGTACTGCTGCTGCGGTTGCTGTAGTTGCTGTTGGGGTTGATGCTGCTTTCCAGGCCCCATGCTAGACATGGCATCGAGGTTCCGCAGCAAATTGTGCGAGGAATGGCCGCATGCACTGCTGCTTGTGGGCGATGCAGGCGTGGCATGCCGGGCAGTCGTCGCAGCAACCATGGCGTTAACTGCATGAGCTATGCCGCTGCCGTTGATGCTGGGAGGCGGAACCTGTACGGCGAGATGCGGATGGCCATGCCCGCCGTACGGCATACCCCCAGCAACGGCAGCGCCTCCGCCTCCGCCGCCTGCTCCGGCGAATGAGCCGAAAGAATACAGGGCTGCAACGGGTTGCAGTCCTGATGGGGTTGGCGCGGCAGGAGGCTGCAGCGGCAGGATTTGAGAAAGCGGTTGTGAATCCAGCCATCCGTCCAGCCGAATACTTCGTACACGAACAGTCACATGGGTCCCGACTCACCGCCTTGGGTGCGAGCTGCTGGAAGAGCTTGTTTGACACACCACGCTCCTCCAGCTCCTGCCGCACCGTGTCGTAAAGCATCTTGTACCTGTAATGCCATGTGGGTGTTGTAAGCCAGTATTGGACGTAACCCGCCCCGGACCAATACCTAAAGACATGGCGAAGTACAGGCGAATACTTCCCATCGCTGAAAACCAGTACTAGATTACCCGCGTGCCTCGCACGACGACACTTACTGGACATGGTTCGGTCCAGACGCTGCCCGTAGTAGCTGCTGCAAATTTTGTAGCTCCGATAACAGCTCATCATTGCTGGCATCAAACACTTCGTAAATCTCTATCATTCCTGGCGATTGCGTTGACCTAAGCAGCTAGCGCCTGCTGTCACGCTGTCAAAAGCACTTCATCGCAATAATACACAAGTACCACGACATAGACATGTTCACTGTGAAGACACTGCTCGAGCAACACCAAGTTACGTCTTAGCGAGCAATCCTAGCATGCATTATAATTCAGGTCACTACTCATACTTGTTATTCTCTTGAGTAGATGCTTACAACGTGATGATCGCCTTCATCGGATGGCTCTCTGGCCCAGCGCGAGCTGTTGGGCGTCGTACATGTCATGCGAGTCATGAGGGTTTCAGGAGCTTTAAACTCCATACCCTTGCAGAACTACATAGATCAACACGTGTTAGATAACTGGAGTCATGGGTGGCCATGGTGGGCTGAATATCTTACCGCAGAAGCGTTGGAACGGTCAGTCATCTATTGTTGTCTGCGTCCGACTATCATTACATCAAACCGGGTGACACGTGTTTTCCAATTTTGCAGTTTACAACCGCGATAACCGGCTCAAGGTCGCTCAGGACGAGGCGAAGGCCAAAAAGCAGGAGGATGAGGCCCGGGAGCGGTATGAACAAGCAGAGCGCGAGCACAGGCACCAGCTCCTCGTAAAGCGTGCGGGGACATCGGAGGAAGGGCGAAGCGGCGATGGGTTGCCCGGCGAGCCTTCCGCAGCACCCTTGGAGCACATCAACTTCTGGAAGGAGGAGGAGACAAAGTTGCAGCATCCCGAGAACGAGGTAAGATCGCCAAAGCCGTTGAACACCCTATAACGGGTTTAGAGGGCGTAAAGGGAAACGGGGTTCACAGGCGTTACCCAAGCCACCAGGCGTACGGCATGCCCGTAAGGGCTGACATGCACCTATACAAGTTGATGGGATCCAGATTAGACATGCGTAGGGATACGTAGATAGACTAGACCGCACCTGTGTCACGCACGTTGCTTTCAGACTTCACAGCTCGCTCCAAACCCACTGTTTGTGTGTGTAGAAGGAGCAGCGTGATGCCGCAAAGCGTCGAGGCAACCCCGACTTTTACACCAGTGACGCCAAGTTCGATGAACGATTCGCCCTGGCATATGGGTTAGTCGGTGACAAGGTACGTCTCGGTGGCGCACAATCCGTCGGCAAGCATGGTAGCAGCGCGCCCAATGATAAACAGGGATACAAGTACTCCCTACACGCCTTCTCCTCGGCGTGGCCATCATTCGTTTATTCCCCTCTTTTCCAAGCCCCGCAAGCCAACCAGCCCCCCTCTGCGACCTCCAACCTGGCCTCCTCCTGCTTCCCCCTGCCGCAGCCCTGGTACGCCCAATCACTCCAACCGGAGCAGCGCCAGCTGCGGGGCGCGGCGGCTGCAGGCGCCGCCGGGTCAGCAGCTCTGCCTGCCAGTGGTGGCGACACCCTAGGCACCGCTGCCGCTGCGGCCCCACATGGTGCCCGATCAGGCAACACCTCTGCTGCTGCTGCGGCGGCCTTGCAGCTGCCGGCTGCACCGCCGCAGCGGCAGCCGGAACATCGCAAGAAACGGCGTCGCGTGGAAGATAGCAGTAGCAGTAGCAGCGAGTCGGAGGAGCGCAGTAGCAGTTCAACTTCGACTTCGTCCTCCTCCTCGGAATCCTCTTCTGATGACAGTAGTACCAGCGACAGCAGCAGCAGCAGTGGCCAGACGAGCAGCAGCCACGACAGCAGTGACAGCGGCAGCGACCGAGGCGGCAGCGGTCGTCACCATCACACGCGGCGGCGCCGAAAGCGGCGGCGATCGTGTTCCCCTTCCAGCGAGCCTCGACGCCACCGCAGCACCAGCAGCAGGCGTCGCCGCAGCGACAAGCACAAAAAGCAGCGAAAATCTAGCAGCAGAAGCCGCAGCCGTAAGTCCGACAGCAAGTCCAAACACAGGAAAAAGACGACGAGGGATGAGGACCGAGGCCAATCCAAACGCAGTCGCCGAGGTGCCGATCGTCTGGGGTTGCCGAGCAGTACCGCACTTGCTGCTGCTGGGAACGGAGGCGGAGGCGGGGGTTCCAAGTCGCTCGAGCAGCTGCGGGCGGAGCGGCTGCTTCGCGAGAAGGAGGAGCGCATGAAGCAGCGGCAACTCATCCAGGGCGCTGCCAACACGCTGCTGCCGGACGGGTGGGTCTGGGGTGGGCGAAGGAGAAGGAGGGGAGGGTGGTGGTGGTTGTGCAGGAGCTTGATCGCACAGAGCTTTTACGGGAGGGAGGGCTGTCGTACTGGCCTCACCGGCCGCCCCTCTGTGGGAGCCTGGCATGGATGGCCTGGCGTGCACTGAAAGTGGATTTACCTCGTAACGCCTAAACACCTAACGTAACGCCTAAACCCTATGTCTACTGTTGGTCTTCCTCCCGCGTGGTACAGGTTGCCGGAGAAGGGCTACCACAGCGCCTTCGGGCACGCGGCCGCACTGAAGCGCCGGCGGACGCAGTGAGAACGGGTGTGGGCAAAACATGTACGACACAACAGCACACGGCAGACGACACCTCTTTATGACGTTTCACAGCATTTATGCTTGCTTGGATTGGATCTGGAGCTGGATTTGGCAAGCGCTGGAAGTGTGCCGTACATTGGCAGTCGTGCCATGCATGCTCCCAGTGTCTCATCACCAAGCTCCTTACTTACAAGACACTTACTGCAGTAGCCAAACAAGTTGCGCTGCGGATCGCTCTGGTGCAGTGTATAAGTACCGGTTTTGGCCGCAGCAGCTCTATCCATGTTTGGCCAATGCTACTGCGCGTGTGGCTGTTCCGTTACGGTCCAGCAGCTGCAGAGTACTCTTTGGTCAGTACGTTACAGCTCCGATGACTCGGAATTGGTTGACGTAGGTGTATGTGGAGAACAGGACAAACAGCCACCGATACCTGCATGGCGTGGTTTGGGCAGTTGTGAAGCGGGGGGACGTTGTATCATGTTAGTCATAAAAATGTTGTGAAGCGGGGGCGCGTTGTATCATGTTAGTCATAAAAATGAGTGAGCAAAGTACCGGAACCTGCCCATTCACAGTCGCCTCAAATAGGCATGCTGATGGCAGATGCATGGGGTGATGATGATGATGCCGGAGTGGCTAGGGTCCCCTAGTGGTGCCGTCCTGGCTCTTCATTGGCGCTGGAAAAGAAAGCGTCAACTTGTGTATAATATAGGCGCCGCATGGGCAGATGACGATGAGAGTTGCGTCATGGGGTCACCCATGTGCATTGCTTATCATGTACATTACCGCTTTCCTTGACTCTGTCCCTGTTTGGGACAGAGTCCCTGTATGCATGTGCGTCATCCCGGCGCAACCCCTTCCCTACCCGCAACCACAACACATCTCACCACACGAACTGGCTCCGATGGCACCACATGGCTCGCAGCCCAACCACCGGATTGGCTGACGACAGCAGCAAGGCGGTGTCCGCAGCGCTGTCGTGCAGCCGTACGTCAGCACTGCGGCCGTGCAGCCGTACGGAGGAAAGCAGCAGCACCAGGGCCGCACCGAGCACCCCGGTGAACTTGAGGGGCAGCGGGTGCGTCACCTGGTAGGGGGATACGATGAAGTGAGCCACGATATCTACCAGCCGCTGGTCCCTGTTGGCATTCTGCTGCTCCCGCCCTCCCCATACTGCTGTCAGGGTCAGCGTTTCTCGCGGCCCGGTTTACCTAATCCCGCCCAATCCCTCCCTCCCTCACCACACATTGGAATTTCTTTTCCCCCAAGCCCACCCACCAGCGTGCATATTCGGCAGCACGAGTCGCCATTGCGGTTGCTACCGCGGTTGCTGCCGTCGCTGCCTGCCACGCCCCCTTCATGTCCATCACCTTGAGATGCCGACAGCCCCCTGCAGCCCACCAACCGCCTGCGATGAAGGTGAAACCGGTAGGATGAACAAGATAGGTGAGGGACGGAAGGCAGGAAGGGGGGACAAGCTGGTCCCATGCGTATACCGGTAACTGCAAAACGCCAACTGACAAGACACAGCAAGTGCCATTATGTAACCCCGGGCCCAGTCGCTTGCACATGGCGGCGCAGCTAGCGGAGGTGCCGAGCCGCAGGTCGAGGGCAGCGGCTGCGGTAACGACCTGGTCAGCCCGGTTGCTGACTCACCAGACAGCTGCGTAGATGCTTGTGTGGTTGGGATGGCCGGACACCCCGCCAGCGTCGAAGGTCACCAGCTGTGGAGGCAGGGAGAGGCGTGTAGATACCGGTAGCTCTCGTACGGAAGTGCATGAGACACACACGCTAACACACAAAAGAGGCTTCAGTATGTTTCGGCCAATGTTTTAAACACACAAGGGGCCCCGTAGCTGCGGTCGACTTCACAGGCGTAACAGCGAGTTCATGAGGAGGACCAAGAAATTCACCCTGAGGAGGGTTTGTGAGCCAAGACTCGGCCGAGACCCCAAAGCAAAGGTGGTTCACTGACCTCATGCGGGCGCACTGCCGCTAGCGCTGCGGCCACACGGGCCTTCACCGCCCCTTCATCCCATGCTTGGAAGCCGTCCTGGCGGGCAGGGTAGCGGCAGCGCAGCACGTCACGGGACCAGCCGGCCCAGAGCATTAGTGGGTTAGGATGACCCATGGGACAGTACACCGTCTTTGATCCTCCCGCAGGAAGCACACGATGACAACGAGCCTTCTCCGCGTGTAGACCATGATACCTTCCTTCGGAAGGGACCTCCGCCACACCCTTCGCCACGCACCCTCCGCCACGCACCTGCAACGCGCCATCATTCACCAGCCTCACCCGTTGCTCGGGTACCTGTTGGGCGTGGCGTGACATGCACCCAATCTGATGCCTGATGGCTTGGTGAGGGGCTGTCTCTTAGCAGTTACACCCAAGCGTACACTAAGACAAGGTAGACTGAGATGTGTTAACCCTAGCCGCGCCCTTTCATGCTGCCAGTTCACACGGCGTATGGCCCACGTGCTACTCCAAAAACGCGGCGTGGTGCCCTGCCCACATGCCGTACGACTGCAGCACGTACGGTATACCTGGAATACTGCACACGCCTGGACGAGCTCCCGGGCGCGAATGCTCCCTAGTCCATCTGCGTTACCTAGGGAAGGGGGAAAAGGAAGACAACTATACATGGGACAGGAGGCTTGCGGCTCCTTTAAGAGCGGCATCACAACCCCGCCCCCGACGGCTGCAGCACAGCCCACCTGTGGACAAGCACAAGATATGAACTTGTATTCCCGCTTGAAGTGCTCTTGTTAGGTAAGGCGCGAAGAAAAGCGACTCGTCATCTGGATGGGCTGTCACCAGCAGGGCGCGATGTCCCGGGCGCCATGTGCGTGTCCGGCGAAACTTTTGCCATACGTAGATTGTAAGGAGTAGGATGGCGAGGAGGAAGTAATACATGGTAGGAAGCTGTCGTTTGCTTGCGTTACGCAGATGAGCAGTTGGTTTCGTCAGCCTTACATGTTACGAGGACCAGTGGCGAAACAGAACAACATACCTTGCTTGCCGGCACATGCCCAAACAAGTTCAACGGTCGTCAGGGTCTGCCAGGGTCGGCACCAGCAGTTGTCGTACGTACACCTACCCAGTGCAATGTCGCGTGGAAATAGTATGGCAACTCAGTGTCAGATGTGTAGACGAATTAAATTCGTGTCGTCAGCAGCTCATTCCCTGCAACTTACATCGTCGGAGCCTTATCCTGAGTCCACTCGCCTCACCGCCGTTGGCTTCTAGGCCCGCTGATTCCGCTCTTAATACTTTTAAGTTTACCATTTTGCCTTCCCTGACTGAGTTACTACCTATGCGGGCCATCCCGCTCCAGTGTGGGCTCTAGGACGGGGCGCCACTCAATGCCCAGCTCTCTGATACTGGAGCCTCGGCGCTGGGTGCCGCGGCTGAGCTGTCAGCAGCGAGCGGTTATACTATGCTTGGCAGGGTCCCAGGTCCGTGCCTTCATATCCTGACACGCGATGCAACCGTCCTGGAAATCGAGCAGGTGCTGTGTCCCTTTTCTGCAGTCCGCGAGGGCGAGGGATGCAAGCCATAAGCGTAGCACTTCACGCCGGGGGAACCAGTCCCTAAACGGCGGCTCTCCTGTGTTCGAGAAGGTGTGCGCTTCTGTCGCTTACTACCCGATGCTATACACATGGTTGGCGTGCGTTGCGCCAAGTATGGTTTCGCAACGTCATGGTCCCTTTCATTCAGACAGATAGCTTCTCTACTGCTGCACTGGTTCTCTTAAGCCCCTATTTCCGTCAATCCCACAACACCATGAGTTCCCATCCACGCCTTCCCTTCTCCCCGCTCCAGGCCCCCACCTTCCCGCTCTCCCTCGGCACCCACAACCCTCTCCCTCCAACCCCACTCAAGCATCAACAACACCCACAACCCCATCACCCCACCCCACATCACCCGCACCAGCAGCACCCGCAGCCGCAGCCGCCTCCTCCCTCCCTAGAGCAGCAGCTCCGCGGCCTGCCCCCCCTGGAGGCCCAGCGCCTCCTCACTGCCCGCGTCAAGTCAGCTCGCAGCCTGCAGGACTATGCAGCCATCGTCTCAGCAGGCGGCCGCCTCATCGACTCCAACTGCCTGGTGGCCATCCTAGCGGGCCTCCCGCGGGCGCTGCAGCGGCCGCCGGGGGGGCAGCCGGCCGCAGCAGCGGCGGCACTGACGGCGCCTGCGGCGCCGCACCCGCCGCCTGCCGGCGGCGGCGGCGGCGGCGGCTCCGCCGCCGCCATCGCTAACAGCAGCAGTAACAGTACTAGCAGCAGCAGCAGCAGCTCCTCCCTGGCCCCCGCCCCCGCTCCTGCCCCGGGCGAGTCCGGCGACGGCTTGTTGCTGTCGGGTGTGGTGGGCGGGGTGGTGGCGCTGGTGGGTCAGCGGGCGGGGGAGCTGGACGCGGGCGGACTGGTCACAGCGGCGGTGGGGCTGGTGAGCGGGGGAGTGGTGAGGGCAGGGTAGGGTAGGGGAGAGGGAGGGTGAGAGCACCCGGCAGGTTTGGTGTAGCGACGTAAGGGAGAGAGGGACGGAGGGTGAGCGAGCGCATCAGCGCCAGCGGGCTACCAATACCATCCCTGCATCCGTTTTTCCGTCCACCCATGCATGCATCTGCCCCCGCCCTCTCTCCCCCCTGCCTCCCCCCTGCCTCCCTCCGCCCCCCCTCCCCCAGGCCAAGCTGCACTGCCACGTGCGGGTGGACCCCGGGGTGTTTCGCAGCCTGCTGGGGCAGCTGGGGCCGGGCAGGCTGGCGGGGCTGGGGGGCAAGGCGCTGGCCAACCTCATGTGGGCGGTGAGAGGGGCGGGGGGGCGGGGGCGGGTGTGGTGGTGGGGCGGGTGCGTTCATGCGGGTGTTGAACCACCTCGCACAGCTGCCCAGAGGCACCCCTGGGGTACCATCACCATGTACATCCCCAACCACGCCACCGCTCCCTACCCACCTACCGCGCTTCCCTTCCCTCCATTACCCGCCCATCACCCGCCCGCCTGCCCCCCCAGCTTGCCACCGCCGGCGTGCAGCCCTGCGGCTCCTGGCTGTCCGGCTTCTACACCGCTGTGGAGCGACGACTGGACACGGCTGGGGGGGCTGCTGCGGGTGGTGGTGGTGGTGGTGGTGGTGGTGCTGCTACACCTCCTCCAACCCCACACTCCCCTTCACCCGCCGCCTCCTCTTCCCTCCGCACCACCTCCACCTCCCCTCCTCCTCCCCCCCTCTCCGGCTCCGACCTCGCCACCCTGCTCTGGTCCTTGGCCAAACTCGACCTCATGCCCGAGCACTGGCTCATGACCCGACTGGTGGCCGCCAGCTGCGCCGCCCTGACACACTCGGCCTGTACGGCGGACGGCGCGGCGGTGCTGACGTGTCTGGCTCGCTGCTACTGCGCCTACAACTGGCGGCCGGCGGAGGAGGTGGTGGGGGGTGTGCTGGGGGCGGTGCTGCCGGGGCTGCGGAGGGGCGCGCCAGGGGACCTGGTGGCGCTGCTGCACTCGGTGAGGGGGGGGGAGGGGGAAGGGAGGGAGGGAGGGAGGGACATGAATGCAGCAGGGAGGGAGGGAGAGAGGGAGGGAGGGAGGGAGGGAGGGAAAAGAAAGAAGGCCAGGTTGGTATCGGAAGGGAGGGAGGGAGGGAAACGGAGGCGTGGCCGGCACCTCACCTCGCCCTCCTGCTGCCCTGCTGCGCAAACCCCCGCTGCCTCGCCTCTGCCTCCATGTCTTGTTTCACCCCTCCACCCCCCCTGTCAGGCGGTGTGCCTCAGCCATCTGCCCGCCCGCCCCTTCATGCTGGAGTACTACTCGGTGCTCAAGGACCGACTGGCCTCGGAGCCGCTGCTGTCGTACTCGGACTTCTCGCGCCTGCTGTGGTCCCTATCGCGGGTGGACTGCCCGCCGCCGCGGAGGTGAGTGCGGTGGGGGGGAAGGGGCAGGGGCAGGGGAGGAAAAAGGAAACTGACGAGGTAATTAACGAGCTGGAGGGGGAGTACGGTCGGGAGAAGGGCTTTCCTGTTTGTGATGTTGTCCTGATGTTGCAAGGTGAGGGCCATGTACGCTGTGACCATGTAAGGTGTAATGCAGTAAACGAGCCGGAGATCCATGGGTCTCCATGCTCCCTACGACACTCTCCAACCCCATCCCATCCGTCCCCTTCCACCCCCGTCCCTCCCTGCTCCCCGCCCGCTGCCGTCTACTCCCAGCTGGCTACGCGAGTTCCTGGAGCTCAGCGCCCCCAAGCTGCCGCACCTGCGCCCCCGTGCGCTGTCTGAGCTGGTGTGGGTGCTGGCGTGCTGGGACTGCCGCCCCTCGCCCCGCTTCCTGCGCGACTTCTTCCGAGCCTCGCAGCGCCGACTGCCCGAGTACCCACCCGCGCAGGTAGGAGAGTGGGTAGGGCTGGAAGCGGTAGTGGGAGGCCCTCGGCGGGCTGGGCTGTGGCGGTGGAGGTGTGGAGGCCGCGGTAGGGCAAACCTGTTATTATATGGTATACTTTAACCCGCTGAACCAATACCTAACCCCCTCCCCTCCTTTCCCCGACAAACCCCAACCCACCAGATCGCGGACACCCTGTCCGCCCTTGCCAAGCTGGGCTGCCGGGCGCCCTCGCCCTGGCTCGCCGCCGCCCTGGCCTCCTTCTGCTCCCCCACCTCCCTCGCCGAGGCCTCCGCTCGAGACCTGGTGGCCACCATTGAGTCGGTTGTGGAGGTGGCGGAGGACCGAACCTGGCTGGCCGCGGGCCCCCAGAAGGCAGCACTGCAGCTGCTGGCAGACAGGGCGGCTGCCAAGTTTGCTGTGTTTGACGCATGCAGTCATGCGAGGCTTGTGTTGGCGCTGGCAAGAGCGAACTGCTGCCCGGGTCCCGCTTGGCTGCGGCAGCAGCAGGCGAGCCTGGCGAGTGCTTGGAGCGCGGAAGCGGTGGTGGCGGGAGTGGGCGAGGGGGGCGGGGGGGCGGGAGACGGAGGAGGAGGAGGAGATTGGGAGGGTTGGGAGCGGGGGGAGGGGGTGGGGAAGGGGAAGGGCGGGGGGTGGGAGGATGGGGGAGGTGGAGGTGGGGGGGTGCTGCCGGCGGGCATTGACACGGCTACGGCGGTGGGATTGCGCCGGGCGTATAGTGAGTGGGAGGTGGAGTTGGAGCCGGGGCTTGCGGCGGAGTTGGAGGGGCGGGAGTGGGCGGTGTGAGGGAATGAGAGAGGGAATGAGAGAGGGAAAGGGAGGGATAGAGCGTTAGAGGGGGTGTGGTACGGCACCATGGGGGCTTCGGGGTGTAGGCAGAGGATGATGCTTTGCGGCATGCTCCGGCTCAGGTAGGCCTTTCGAGTGGACTGGTCCGCTGGTTGTGGTTGTGGTTTCATCATGAACGCAAAGATGAAAACGGCTACGCGGCGTACGGAGAGGAGAGGTGCATCTTTCATTATTATCTAAAACACCTTTGAAGACCTGCGACTGCTCTTATAAGTCTTGGAGGGTTTGCAGGGGGGGCCCACATGCCGTTTGGCTGAGCATTCGGAACCACGGGGGCCTTTTAAGTTGTGCTGCTTTTACCATGTGTTGTCATAAAAAGCAATAGGCTTGTTATATTCACGACACACAGCCGCAACTTCACCTTGCTTGCACCTTTTTGAAGATTTTGTTGTGCTTTCAGTAGCAAAAAGCATAAAGACCCTTATCATGTGTTTAGATGATTGCATAAGCCCGCCATGCTGCTTCTGTCCGCGTGTGCAGCTGCTAGTTGTGAAGATTGAAGCGTCTACTGGTTAGGATACAGCCGGTATGCAGTCGGTTGGTTGGCGACTGCACGTCTATCTGTCCACCCAAGCACTGTCACGTGCTTGGAACCGACCGGGGTGTTGCTGCGCCCCCCGTCCTTTATACTCGCCACGCCTCAAGGCTGCGTGCATATGGCACGTGTCCTATTTAGGCAGATGTTATTGTCTCTTGTGGCGCTGGAGGAGCGAAAGATGGTCCCCTCTGGGATGGGCTCCTTTGCCCGCTTTTGCATAAGCTCGTGCAATACCCCCTTGCACTGTAAGCGCGGTATTGACGAGGTGACGGAGTATTGGCCAGCGGCACTCCTTATTTGCTCCGCCGAATGCAGCTGCCCGTATGCATGCATGCGGTTACGTGCCAAATGGGGCGCCTCAGCATAACTTTGACCCATGGGTCGCGCTGTCGTAGTATCCTACCTAGCACCCTTTGCTGCGGCCCACTTCACAGCTCAGCCCGTCCGCAGTATGTGTCACATAGACTGACATAAGGAGACATGAGTGCCGCAGCGTAAGCTGGAGCAACTACGGGGCTTCATGCACGGCGGGAAGTACGGTGAGACAGGTACTACGGTGGGTACGACCGGCTCGGTTCGGCTGATCCAAGACAGGCAAGTGGCAACGCGCCTCGAGACGCGCGTCCCCTTGCTACCAACCCGCACATTGCTGCCCAAGATACTGAGCCTTTACCAACACGAATACAACGTAAAAACGTTGCTCCTCTTGCTCTCTTTTTATTCTACACATGAACACACATACCGGTAACATGACAGTTTCCACTCGAATCCGCCCCTGGCACCCTGTCGCGCCGCACCCCACCGCCATGTCACCATGCCGCCCAGCCAAGTAACCCCAGCAGCACGCACCGAAACCCAACTGGAGCCCTCGCGCCCTCCCGGTCATGCATTATCGCCAGTTCAGCGAGCCCCGCCGCTCTGAAACCCGTTCAACACCGCCGCTAAAACCACCTCCAGCGACGAGGCGCTTCCCGCCCCGGGCCCCGCTCCCTCAGCCTCTGCTGCCGCCTGCAAATGCTGCTGCAATGCTGCTCCTAGTGCTGCTAGCAGCCGGGCTGATGCCGGGGCTACAAGCCGCGCCAGCAGCAGCGGCGGCGGTAGCAGCAGGCGACCTCAAGACTGACCGGGAGGCTTCCTTACAGCTACGTGTGCATTTGGGAGGGGTTGCTGGGGAAGGGCCAGCAGCGGGTATACCTGTCGTTTGGGACAGGAGTCAAGCTGGGCCGGGGGTGGTCATGGCAGGCAGTGGAGGTGGCGGTAATGGTAATGGTGGTCGTGCGACTGTAGCAAGCCAAGGTAAAGCAGACAACCCTGATAGCTACTACGTCCTGCCGCCAGCTTTGCGACGCCTGCAACAGCTGTTACGGTCTTCTTCGTCTGCACTGCCTGCAGCAACAGCGGCAGCGGGCGGTGGGTTCGGTGACATTGGGGTTGGAGCAGCCTCACAGTACGACATCGTTCCCAGCATGTACAACAAACAGGCCATGGGAGGGGGCCAGCAGACTGGAGGGTCCTCTTGGGGTTTAGATTCGCCGGGCACGACTGCGTTAGCCTCACGTAATCCGCAATTCGCTGGGATGTTACAACAAGAAAGCGGGGTACTACAGCCTGGGCCTGACAGCACGGGTAGCGTAGACATCCCTCGGAACTCTGGTAGAACGGGTGATGGTACGGCGGCCTATGCAAGACGGACACAGCAGCAGCAACCAGCGCAACAAGCGACAGCGCAAGGACGACAACAGCAGCAACGGCAACAACAGCAGTTCCGATCACAGCAGCAGCAGCAGCAGCAGCAGCAACAACAACAACTGCAGCAGCCATCCGCCACAGACCAGTTGATGCAGCTCATCCTTTCCAACTCCCTAACAGCGTCGCTGCTCAGCCCAGAAACCCGCTCATCGGTGCAACAGGGCGGCAGCGCCAGCCTTTCCAACGTATCCCCACAACCCGTCCAGCAAGAAGGGGCATTGACGGGACCGCAGCAGCAGCAGCAGCAGCAAGTGCAATCACAAATGCAACCGCAGGCAACGACGCGTGCAACCAGCGTCCCTGGACATGCCGCACTTCAGGGCGTGCAAGGAAAGCAAGGCCAGAGCTCCCGGACGCAGGCGGTAGGGGCAGCAGGGGCGGGGCAGGCGAAGCAGCTGGGAAGCAGCGCGGAGCAATGGCTACTAGGGCTGCAGCAGCAGTGGCAGCAGGGTTGGCAAGAAGTGGGGAGCGGCGGCAGCGGCGGTGGCAGCGGGACCAGCAGCGGCGGTGGCAGCCAAGGTGGCGGTGGCAGCGGCGTTGCTGGCGGCGGCTGGCGAGAAAGCGGCAGCGGTGCTGGAGGTCCGGGCGCAAGGGTGGGCATCGGCGGCAGTGCTGGCAGCAGCACAAGTAGCAACACAGGTGGTGGGGGCACGGGAGCTAGCAGCACCAGCAGCACCAGCGGCGGCGGCATGTCCAGCAGGGGCCCTCTGCAGCCCCTGCCGTCCGGTGCCCCCAGGACTGCAGCTTCGCTACCTTTGGATGCAGTCAAGGGGGTGGGACTGGTGCTGGACAGCGCATCTACCGCGAACCTTAGCTCCAGCGACGTTCTCTGGGGGCTGTACGGGTTGTACAACAGCGGCCTTAACGCGGGTGGCCGTACGGCTACCGGCAATCCTTCGAGTGGTGCTAACCTCGTTGTTACAGGCAGTGGAGTTGGCGCTAATGGAGCTGTGAGCGAGGCTGCTGGGAGGACTGGTAGTGGTGGAAGCGGGACTGGATCTAAGGGCAGCACGCTAGGAGGTGGCAGCATCCCGGGAGGCGCCATGCTACCGAGTGCGGGCCGAGCTAGCGGAGTAAGCAGTACGGCATACGGTGGCGATGAGTACGACAGTGATGTGTACGGCAGTACGGCCATTGGAACGAGAACGTCTCTCCCTACAGACATGAGCGGGGGAGCATTTGGTCCGTCTGGCGGCAGTTTACGTGCCGGCGGCGGCGGCGGGGCGTCCGGGCAGCAGGGGTACGGCGGAGCTGCTGCTGCCGGCACTGGCACCGGCACCGGTGGCCTGGGAGGATTAGCGCGGGAGACCTTCCCCTTTTGTCAGCCGCCGTACCTCCCTTGCGCTGATCGAGATGTGGTGACCTTTTTGGGCGTTACAACCGACCAGGCAGGTGTACGGCACTACGGGATGCGTGATAGTAACGCTTGCCATACTCCGAGCTCAGCATGAGCGTCGTAACTGGGTTGACAACCGATGGGTACGAGGGCATCTCTAGATATTATGCGATTCTGGGGAGCAAGGGAAGAGGTAGTTACCCTTACTGGCCTGGCAGTAAGGAGAAGGCATGCATGGTAAGGACCTGCGCTAGAGCGTGCCTACGTCGTTCGGTTTCCGTGCACGCCAGCTGGGTGCCTTAGCCTAATATGGTGCCTAATGTGTACTGCAGGTGCTGTACACGCCAACAGTGCTGCAGTACACGGGCATTGGTGCCATTGGCCAGGTACGACTCTGCCCTCATGAGTGTTGGCCCCCATTGCCCTCACATGGGAACCCTACCTGCTGTCCTGACTGCTTGATACCAATACTACCGGTACCCTAAACGTCTTCTTGGCCGCCTCATGCCGTGTCATCATTCCCGTGCAGCGGGGGCTCATCGCCAGCACCAGGCCCGACTTCTTTGACAGGAAGACCACCTCAAGCCTGACCGCCCCCGTCGGCTTGCGCATCTCCGCAAACCTGCTGTTCAACGGTCTTAACGGTGTCAGCAGCAACGGCCTGCAATTTCTGGTGAGTACCATGCCCATATCGGCCATGCACCTCGCACACTGAGCAAAGCCCTAAGCAGAGGCCGAAACGTCTTGCTCCATGCTAGCTCGCAATGGAGTGCCGTATACCGGTAACCTTCCGTGCGGGCGCCCCACTGTGCAGGGCCTCAGCACCGACCAGGGACCCAGGGGCCGCATCCTTCCTGACTCCGCAACGCTCACGTCCCTGGTCGGCAGCGGCACCTCCACGTTTGACAGGTGTGCCTAATCCCACCTAACAACTCATCCTATGGCGCTGGCAATGGGATGGGTAGTTGTGCATGCATGCATGAAGGGCAGCAATTTAAACCACACAGCGTCTGTAGCAGCGCGAAAAGGCTTACTCGAGATGGCAGGAACCCCCTAGGTCTTGGATATATTCGTGGGTATTCTGGGGCTGGGGCGGGTGTGCCCTGCTACAGCGTCTGCTAGTCATGAAAGAGTACATGGCCGCACCCCCCGGCTCCCCACTGTCCCTCACGTTCAGCTAGCCTAGAAACCCTGCTACCCGCCGTGACCCGCACTGACCTTGTCGCAACCGCCAACCCTACTATAATCATCTCTTGCCAGGGTGAACTACAAGCCCAACTGGGTACTCACCGGAACTGGGCCGGGTTTCGCCACCACGGCCGTCAACTTCGGACCCTACGGCAACTTCCTCATCCCCGGCGGCCTCTCCTCTACCTTCAACACCGGAGTGCCTGCAATCACGGGTACCGGCGCCATCCCTGGCGGCAGGGCAGCTACAGCCTAGCCCAGTTGCTTTGGCATGGTAGCGACGCTGTGTCCTGCTGTTGACCAGGGTACTTACGAAGCGTGCAGAGAGATGCGTCAGAAACAGTTCGCCGCATAAGGGCGTATAGCTACCTACTCGTACCGTGCCTAGCTTAACGGCAAGGACTCCATGGGTGCTGCCAAAGGTGGGATCGAGGCATACTAGTTGCTGTCAACTGAACAATGCTACGCTAGTGTCCGTGTAAGCGTTGTTACCGCCTAGTGGTCACATGCTAACAGCACCCGAACAACGGTGGGCACTAAGCCATACCGGTATAGCCAGAACAGCGCACCTAAGCAGGTAGGAAAGGGCACATACATCACACCCCTGAACCCTCGCCATCCAAACGCCCGAGCCTCGGTCCTTTACTTCAAGAAACACACACTACAGCCCCAGCCGGAGCCTCCCTGTGCCCTCCGCAGCTGAACCCCGCCCGCCAGACCGGTGCTCGCGACCCACGGAGCGGCAGGAACCGTCATAAAATAAACTTCGGGCATTCAAACCGAGCACTTCCTGCAAGATCCTAGGATCAGCAGTCATAACATCAAAGCATCACAAGCCACGCCCCCTTCCCGGGGATAGGAACTTACTGTATTGCATACGGACGCTTCCATCTCTCCAATGCGGCCCCGTGACAAGTCCTACAGCCCACCTTGCAGCGCTATGCGCGCATGTACCTAACTCCTACGACACGTGCAGTGTCTCCCACCACGGCGCGCCATTAGGCACCGGACACACCAGGTCTACCGCGCAGCAAGGCGGGGTTTCCACCACACCGAGGTGCCAACTACCGGTATTCAAGGATCAGCAGGACTACCCACGTGAAATGATGTAAGAATGCATAGTAGATGCAATGACCTTCTTTGCTATCGCCCTAAGGGCTCCTAACGTTTCTAGCCAGTGAGAGCGTATGACCCAACAACTTGGAACCATGGAACCTAAATGCTGCAAAGATACGATTTTTTGGATATTGCCTGCCACCCCGCCTATGTTGTGCAGTTAATGTGAATGTTGATCACGATTTAAAACTAGCATGCAAAGAGCTACGGAGGAGGGAACACATGCACCGACACCGCCCCAAGCAAGCCGTACTTCACCACATTCTTGCTGCAGCATCGGCATGGATGGCCGTACTGCGCAATCAACTACGTTGCCGCTAACCCAACCGGTCCACCCAGTAATCCTACCCTAGATGCTAGTTACCATGCGTCATGAGTATGCACGTCCTCGCTGATCACTGCGTACTGACACTACCGGTACTCCATTCCACATACCGTTACTGGTCAGCCAAAGGTAATGGTGTTGTGAGCCGGCCATGCCTGCTAAATACCTAGCCAACGATTGAGTTAGCCATTCAGCAGGTGCACGCGACGTCGGGCATGCGCCCCAAAATGGACGCGTTGGCGGCTGCCCCCTTCAAACTAGGCCGCTACGAATCCGGGATCTACCAGGAGGCTATCTAGCCATGCACAGTCTGGAGCCTCTGCCTTCATCCCAGGCTCCGTCGTGCTGGCCACGGCTGCAAACGGCCCACCATGTAGCTCGTACACCCAGCACGGCCCATCAGGGACGCGGCCTTCACCCATGTTCGTAAGTTTTGCAGCGCTGCTTGCGGTAGACAGCACTGGATGGAGAGAGTCCGCAGGTGCATACGCCGGGGTGTCGCACGTGCTTTTCAGCGGCATAGCACAACAGCCTTGCTGACCACAGGGTTGTAGACTTGGCTGGGTCCAGGACCACGAGGTCAGAGCAAGCGGCCACGCACCATGCCCGGTGGCCTCACCCGCCGCCTGCTGCTCCGGCACCAGGAAGCAGCCAGGCCGGTGCTGCTGTTGCGGCAACAGCGGCTGCGACCCGTGCCCGCCCACGAAATCCCCGCCCATGCAGCAGCGCTTCGCTGGCCGCGCCGCAGGCATCTCCAGCGCGTTGTCTGAGATGCTGATGGACATCGTAGGACTGCCTACGTCGCTACCAACCCCAGCTCCACTCGTGCCGCTGCCAGTCGGATTGCAGTCACGTGATGCAAGCGGCCACCCTGCGATTGGCAGGCACATGGCCGCTGGCATGCTGCCCTCCTGTGCTGCGTCGTACGGCAGTGGCGCAACAGCAGCAGCACGCTTGAGGGATCGGCCGTGGCAGCCGTTACCGCTATTGTCAACACTGCTGACATCGTTGTTGCTAGGGCTCTGGTGCAGGCCGCTACTGCGCCACTCCAAGCTCACGTCAGCGGCTGTGGCAGGATCTGGGCTGGCCAGCAGGTGCCTGTCCTGATAAGCGACAAGGCTGCCACCGGTGGGACCGGTCTCCATTAAACCGGCAACTGAAACGTTGTCGCAAAATGGGACCGGCGGCATCCCGACCGCTAGTCCACAGCCCGAAAGGGGAGCTGCGATTTGGAGATCTTGATTGGAGCAAACAGTCGTAGTCTCGACGCTCGGCAACGTCAACTGAGCCTCGCCAGCGCATGGCTGGCGTTGCAACTGCGACAATGGACCCGACCAGCCCTGTGTTGAGGGGCCCATGGGCAGCCAAGTCGCATCGTGGCAATCGCGCAAACCGCCGTCGTGTCGTATGCCCGCTTGCCCGCATCCGTGACCACCACGAGAAAGTTGGGGGCCCGGATGAGCAGCCTGGAATGCCGTAGCCAACCCAGCATCGTCGACAGCGTTCGCTGAAGGGGGTTGCCCACTAGGATTAGCAGGGGCTCCGCCCACGCTTGCTGCACCCAGGACGCAGGTCCCTCCAGGGCCGTTGGGACCAAAGCAGCCCACCTGGCGGCGAAACAGAGCCATTGTCGTCGGCCCTCGCGTTCGCCGCACTGTTAGCATGATTGCAGCTGGCGTAGGTGAGGTGGAACGTGTGGTTCTGTCAGCTGCCTTAAGCTCGGCGCCCGGGTTCTCAGGAACGCTGGGGACGACGACAGGTCCGGAGTCGACGGCTTGAGCAGTGGCAGGCTTGTCGTTAGGAGCAGCCCCTGGGCAACCGGCAGGGTTGGAAGGAAAAGTTTGAAGTATGCAGTCGCTGGCAGGGGCAGCCGGCTCGGTGCCAGCCGCACAATCCGCATCGCCGGGCTGCGTCCGTTTGCTGGTTGTCACAGCATCCTCGGCGGTGGTACAGCAAGTACTGCTGAGCAGCCGAAGCTCCGGGGCCGGCGGCGCATGCGGAATGTTCGAGACGAGACCCTGCGCGCAGCTGGATGCAGGAGCCGCCACGCAAACCATGTTGTCGGAGACGGATGTCGGGTCCGCGACCCCTGCTGTGCTTCGCTGAAGTAAGGGTTTGCTAGCTGGCGTCTTAGCGCTGGCTCTCACTTTCCGCCGATACTCTACGAAGTAAGACCTGAAGGCAGGAAAGGAGAGAAGATATGCGCACTTATACTTCTGCATGTCAGTAGCCAAGATTATGGTACATGTCTCCTTTTTACAATTCCAACGCTACCTGTTTCTCTCTGGATCCCGGCGTCCCTTGGAGTGGTGCAAAATCTCTTCCATGGTCAGCTCGGGCCTCCATGAAAGGTTCTCCGCACGCCAGCTGAAACCGGCCATGCGGATTTGGATAGGTAACGCACCAGCAGCTTAGGAAGCCAGCAAACCCAGCAAAAGCAGACAGTTATCAACATAATCCGAGCACAGGGCTACGTGCTCGTGCCTTCGACTGTGCTTTGCAAAATTGCAGTGTTTACTGCACGTTTTTCAGGCTGCAGTCGATGCACACGGCAATACCTTATTGCAACATAAGTTTAAAAATTCAACAAACTACAGGGTCAGGCAGGGCTTGTTGGCGGTTAAGGCACTGTCCAAAAGGCAGGCATCCTTACGTCTCTATGTCTGCCTTCGTTGGGCGCCGCCCATTCTGGTTGTAGAAGTCGCTCCACCATCTGTTGAAGGGCTCAAAGAAACCCATAGGGCGCCTTTCTTTTGACATGTCGCAATAACTTCTCTAGCAGTCGACCAGTCGCCGCCCAACAAACGCCCAATTTATAACTGAGCAGAGGCTGCAAGTATAAACAAAACGCTGTTCAAAATATAGCACAACTTAGCGGCTAACACCGCATAAGCGCGAAACAAGACGGCATGTCTTACCTGACCGCAGTGGTGACCGCTGCTTTGTGGCAGCAGCCTTTGTCTACTTCGGAAGTAAATAGCAATCTGTTTTCCGCGGATTAAGCCTATATACGGAAAGATGGTAGGACATCAAAAGCCGCGTCTGTGCTTAACCACTTTAAGCGGTCGCCGGTATTGTTACGACCCATGCGAGCATGAGAAAGTAAATCTAGTTACTGATCAATGCTATCTCAACCACTCCGATGATGGCGTGCATCTGTCGACGCGCATTGTACGAAATGACCGACCAACCAACCAAGCATACGGGCTTGTGGTCATAAGAAACGTTTTGCTACAATTTGCAGCTACTCTTAAGCTGGTTAGCACCTTAATATGGACGCCACTGATGCGAGGCATTATGCTTGACGTGAGCTTGGCTCGCAACGCCCATAAGGATACACTGCTGAGGATCCTAAGTAGCGAAGATCCCGGCAGCGATAGAAAAAGCCGCCTACATAGGCCCATTGAACCGGATGAAGGGGAAGCCCTAGATGCAAGTCGGCAAGTGAGCGAAACCCCAGCCTCGGGCAGCGCAGAGACACTGGCTGCGGGACAGGCGCGGGGAGTACGACTGTTGGCAGGTTGCAGGCCCACAATTGTGCTCCCCTGGTAGGTTAATGCCTGCGAACAACGACGCATAGTGCCATCTGCACTAATGTCTCATGGTTCATGCCTCGGGCGTGCTTCACGTTCCATGTCCACTTTACAATGCTTTGCTTTCCGATCCATGTCCTCTATACAATGCATTGCTGCAAATTGCCAAAGCGAGATGATTGCCCTAGAAATCCTGCCGGCGGGCCATCAAGGCATCGTGACCAGAAAATCAGCACCACCATGGACGGTCCAAACAAATGTGCATTCCCTGATCAGGAGCCATGGGTGCAAAGTTTCTCCCACATGAATTTCCATTTCGCCCCATCTTCGGTAATGTCAAATGGGAGCACACCACACTGACTCGTATGGAGCATAATCTGACCTGCTCATAATACCGGAGCAGGCAACATGCACAACGCCTGTGCACTGTTTCCTACGATGAAAAGAAGCATCACATCCATGAAACCCATTCACACCACAGCCTCGCCCACCATATACGAACAACTTCCAAGTTCAACATGTTAATTTTAGTTCCGTATCCACCGGGTTTCAGGGCTGCATGGCAGAAAGGCAGCTGCGTAGGGGTGCGTAAGTGAGGCCCTCGATGCAAGCATCCCGATCGCCCGGCTTCCATTACTTTTGGGGTCAGACACCGATCCAAACACCGTGTACGACTAAGCCGTCTGGCGGAAGAAAACACAAAGAAGGCAAGCATGCAGCCAAATTCCCAAAAGCATGCGAAAAAACAGCGGCTGAAAAGATGCAAAAGTTTGGAAGGCCCACAATTTGTCAGACAGTCACAATCCTCAGTTGCACGAACGTAGCACCCCTGCGCGCGACTGATCTGCAAAAGCTCAAGCGCTAATACAAATTCAGCACACAATGCGCCTTCCAAGACAGCTGTTCGCTGTTTAGTTTAGTCATTGCTAAAATGCGCAATTGTCAGCTTAACATGTAACGAGATCACCTAACAACCATTTGGCTTATCTCATCTGAACGACCTCGAGCCCCTACACGATCACGACTTCCTCCCTAACTCCCTAGCTACATGTGAACAGGTCGCCATGAATACGCAGCTACCTTCCATCATGTGAGTACCGTGTCAAAGCCAACGTCCCCAGCAATAAAGCTCTCCCACGCCACCTCCAAGTCGTGATCAAGGACATCCCGAACTGCCGCAGCGCAGAAGCTGTCAGCCGCCCCCAGCCCGCACTCCACGCCCTCCAGCTCCGACTCACGAACCTCGGAAGGCATCTCCACAGTCGACGGGCCGTCGCCTTCGCTCCGGGAGCCGCCAGATGCGGCGGCAGCATCCCCCTGAAACAGGCCAAGGCCAACAGCCGCCTTAGCCAGGGGCTGATGTTGGCGTTGTTGCTGTGCCGGCTGCATCTGGCTGTACGGCAAGACAGGGTAGCAGCGTTTCGCTTCCGCGTCAGCGGACATTGCCAGATAGGCCGATTCATCCATGCCAGGAGCCATCCGGGCCATGCTGGAGGAGCTCCCGATGGCCACCATGCCGTACGGTGGGCACGCACCGTACATGCGGTGCCCCTGCTCAGAGCTGCCCAGATTGGCACGGTTGTGGTAGGGTCGTTGCGCGGAGACGCTACTGCTGCAGACCTCTCCCTCCATGGTGGCGTTGGGCTGCATGCCCCAGGACTCCGGGCAGGCAGGCGGGAAGCGAGCGTAGCCCTGGAACGCGGGTCCGAAGCCGTAGCCTTGGTGGTGCATTGCCGGCTGCGGCGATACCGGGTGCGAAGGCGGGTCCGAGCAGTTCATGAACTCGTGCCTCTGGCAGTCGCTGCTGCTACTGCTGCGACAGAGGCCCGATCCTTGGCTGCGCAGCACCGAAGCCGGCCACACGCCGCCTGCGTACATGTCGCCAGGCGCCCAGCCGCCCCAGGAAGGGTGGTAGGGTTGCGGATAGTACAGCTTGGAGTGGGCTCGTGCGTTGGACTCGGCGGCGCCCTGGCGCGGGTGAATGTGAGGCTGGAAACCGGTGGCGCCAGCTGTTGACCACGGCACGGCAGGCGCGTAGTCGCTGCTTGATGAACCAGATCCGCAGTACGGCATGGGCCCGCTGGCGTCTCCGTACGCACCGCCCGGGTGGCGCAGGTGGTAGGGATAGTAGTGCGAGGGGCTGTAGCCAGGGTACGTGCATCGGTAGCCGTTGAGGGCTTCCTCGGCGCCAGGCGGGCACCTACCTCCTGCGCTGCAGCGGTCGCCGGCGTGGTCGTCGCCCTCCGCTTCCTGTCTTAGCAAGGACTCGACCTGCACTGCCCTTGCTGTCGGCATGCCGTGGAGGGCACCGGTGAGCCGTGGCTGGCCGGCGAACATCACAGGAGGCGCCGCAAGGGGTCCGGCGGCCGCAGCAGCTGCCGCCGCCGAGGCCTTAGACGAGAGCGCCGGCAACAGTGCGAACGAACCCAAGGATGCACGCATGGCGGCGAGGGGAGGCGGCCGGCAGACGCGGGTCTTGGGGAGGACGATGACGGAAGATGATGGCTGCTCACAGCACGTCACGCCCGTGCTGGACTGGCAGGCGAGCAGGGGCGCCGGTCCTTCTGGAAGGCCGTTTGCGGGGTCGAGTGCCGACAGGGGGTAGTGCTCCGGCTGCACGGAGATAGTCCGCAGCAGCTCAGGAACGCTAATAGGCATGTGCCTGCCTGCGATGAAGCCGGCAGCCGGCAGCGACGAAGGCTCCAGCTTGATGGCGACGGCGGCAGCGGAGCCAGGTCCTGCGAGGTTCCACGCCTCGAGCACCGTATGCACACCGGACAAGTCTTGAAGCCCGTCGTCTTTGACGTTGTTTGCAGCAGCAGCGTCAGCAGCGATGGATACGTGCAGCCTACAGGGCGCGCCCTTGTCCTCAAGGTCGTGACTTGGATCGGCGGTCTCGGCCTTGTCGCAATCACCGTCTTCGCTCGAGTAGTGATTGGAGCAGGCGCTGCCCTCGTGATCCGCCTCGTGCATCTCCTCTTCTTCGTCGGAGCTGTCGTCCCGGGCCCGCCGCCGCTTGGCGGCACGTGCGCGACGTTGGCCCCCCTCGTCCACGTTGGCTGTCAACGCCAAGCCGCCCTGGAAGGAAGGAAAAGGATGCGAAATGGGTGAGCAAGCGTTGGCAAATCGAAATTCACATGGAACAGCCCGGGCAGAATCCATGGCAAAAGACGGCGATCCCCGCCACTACTCCTGCCGCACTGCCGCGTCACACGCATGAAAGACTTCGCACCGGAGGGGGCTCTCACCTGCTCCTTCCGCTTCTTCCGGTACATGCGGAAGTACTCCTTTAGACCATCAATAGGGCGCAATCCTGCACGGCAGGGGAGACGGAGACCGCGTAGGTAAGAAAGGTGAGCAAGGCCGATTTGCTGGCTAAAGCAGGGATGCAGGAATCAGGGAACCCAGATAGATTCCACCTATTATCTTGCGGAGACGAGCTCGCATTGCGTTTGGGGCGAGGGCACAGGCAACAGCGGTCAAATTGCTGTGCACAGCTGGCCCGGGCCAAACAATGAAGGGAAACTGTTTTGAACCTTTGTCGGCCTCTAAGCCCTTGCCCCTTAGCCGCTCACCCTTGCTTTGGCGGAGCACTGCCTTGAGGCTTGGGACTTCACCAGCAGGCCAGGAAGCCTCGGCATTCTCGTTGTACCACCTTTACGTTTTGATATTCATCAATCGACCGGGGAGATGGTGGGAGGAGTGGGAGGAGAGGGAGGGAGGAGGATGAGCGGAAGGGTGTGGGGGTGGCAGAAGGGTAGAGCACAGCGGTGGGAGGGAGGAACGGGAACCGAAAGGACAAAGGTGAGACGCGGGGCGATTTGGCTTGTAGATGATTTGCTGTGGAAACGTTTCAAGAGACGAGCTGAGTTCTGCAGGGGAAAAGGCGAAAGTGGGTAACGTGCGCTTGTGCCAAGCAGGTCATCGACATAGGTCAGAGCTGCCAGAAATCATCGGGTTTGGCACCAGCAGCATAAATAACGGAACTAGTATCTAGCTCTAATAAGAAACTGCATTCTATGCAAGCTTCTGTAAACTCCCGAACTCCGATCAACTTCGGCATCGACCATTTCAAAGCCCCGTAACCCGCACAAAAACTCACTCTATGACCTCGTGTACTGTAGGTCGAGAGTTTAGCGCTGCATAGCGCCCTCGCCACCAATGGCTGAACACCTTCCAGTACCCTGACGGTCTGCGGTTGAGGATGGCCTTCGACTTGGTCCTGGTGGAAGTGCCGTCGTTTCCAGCATTCTCATCCATCTGAATATGGATTGGTGCTTATAGCTCAGCTTCCCTCAGGACGACGAAAGCGGTTTTCCTCTCTGGGACAGGTGTCCTCGCGAAGACCGGCAAGTCCAAGCTTCAAAAGCTCAGAAGTATCAAAGTGATTTCGAGGCACTTGTGAAGTGCTACGTCAGCGCCCAGGCCTTGGGTTGAGGGGCAAGTCAACTAGTAGGAACTAGCTAAAAGCAGCCTTCCAGGGCATCCACGCCGCTGCTAGAAGGAAGTAAGCAATGTTAAGTAGGTAGAGAAAGCCCTACTTGCGGTTTGCCTCGTCTCGGACCAGTCACACAAGTCGCATTTACGCGACGAGTGCCTGGCCAGTTTCGTAGGATATAAGCAGTCCCAATTATTCTATGTAACGTTTGTAACGCGTTTGGCAGCTTGTAAGCAGTCAGGCCTTCGCCTCGGGAAGTAATGCCAATTAACTCCCTGTACGGAATATCGCCCGCCCGAGAAAGGAGGTGACGATCCTGCAAAGAGAATGCAGTGCTTTGCTTACAACTAGGTGGTCATCCTCTTTGGGGGGAAAGTTAGCGCCACTGGTCGCACTGGTTCACCCTGTCGTGCAGACATCCGCCCACCAAATCCGTTCGTCGCATGCGTCGCAGCAGCCCAACAGGTGTCTCTCGGTGCTAGAAGCTATAAATGGCACTGGTATAAAACTATGTTTTTTGTATTATCCTAGCATTTGGGTATCGAACCCACTGTCGCAGCTAGCTATGCAGGGCCCGACCGTTAGGCCAAGGACAGACACCAACTTTGCCCAAACTCTTCCAGTATCAGACAGTCTCATGTTGGCAAGTACATGTAGCCTAGCATTGCCGACATCGACAATATCGGCGGAGATTCTTCCGCAATCGTCAGTGGTCGTTAATGCGCCCGCCTCGCAACTAAGCAGTTGCTGGGAATAGCACGACGCATAGTCGCGAGAACGTGCTGACGTGTATAACTTAATCCTTTTAAGCATTACTACAATCCAAGTTGGCGACCCCGACCTTGCGACAAAGAGGGGACAATGCTGCGTAACCCACCGATAGCCTGACGTTAGGCCAGGTGTGAGCCATTTTCAAGCCCACAGCAGCTGGCAGCAAAGACGACAGCGGACTTTCGCATAGTACTTCGCCGGTTTACGATGTAACTTACAACTCACGTGGTGCCAGACGCGTACAACATCAGTAAATATTTCATAAAAAGATATCTGTCTCAAGAAAACAGCCCCAATTGGCATGTTAACCCTGTCGCCGTTGTGGAGCAACGCGGTAGCTATCAAGGAGGTAGGGGTAGCTAGCAGCGTATCCCTTCTTAGCCACCTAGGCTAGATACCACTCCAAAGCCGCGAAAGCCTTACATCTAGTTATGCAGTGCCAGTGGCACATGAATCATGAATTTTGTATGAGTTCCGGCTCTTCCGGCTCTTCCCCGACGGCGAAGTTGCATGCCGACAGCTACCGTCCGCAGAACTGAAGGAGGTGGTTAAATACAAACCTTCGTATTTAGTCTGCCATAGCATGACAGTAACAAATGCCACGGGCGGCTGCCCGCAGCGAAGCCCGCCATGCCCCGACAGCTGCATGGTACGTCCGACAGCACCATGCCGGACGTACCATGGTGCATTCATGGTACGTCAAAGCCAAACCATGCCGAACCACAAGTAAGGGGCAGTCCTCACTTGGGTTCCACACCACATCTCTCACGCCCCTCACCAGGTTAAAGCTGTCAATGTTGAAGCTAACGTCTCCCCCGTGTGGCTCGCTCCTCACGCTGTGCTTTCTCCAAATCCCTGAGAAACTCCTGCTCAGACCTCGCGTGCCCGCAAACGTTGCATTCCAGCATAGGTGACCCAGGGGTCGGAGGTGCGGCGGTCCCGAAACATCCTGGCCGCGTGCACATGTACTTCAGCAGGAACAGCCGCAAGTAGGTCGGATCCAAAGGCCCCTCCTCCCCTGGAGGCGCGCAGATTGGACCCTGCATTTCACATGTCAAGAGAGGGTCAGGGCGCGGAAAAGGATGCTCAGAAGAAAGCTTAAGTACCGGCACCATTGGGCTTCCAGCGAATGAAGTACGACGAGCAAGGAACGTACGCCGTTGATTGCAATTTTGCAAGTTCAAGTCGACAGCTGGAAAGGCACTTCATGAAAGCGTGGTAGCCAATTTTGTCGCGTTGTCATCCAGAACCCCCTACCATGTTGCGACTTAGGCAGTACGGTAGTTGGCACATGGCGCACATAGAGGTACACACAACGTAACGGGTTCCCCTTCTGCTATAACAAAAGGAAACCCCGTACAAACACAGTTTCAAAGGTCCTTCGCTCCGCAAAGCACATGCTTACAATGGATTCCTGCATCTCCACCTCCTCGGCCGCCCCTCCCTCCTCTTCAGCTCCCTCCGCGTCCCCCTCCTCCTCCTCCTCGCACATCTCCGCGGACCCGCTGTCCGTCTCCCACTCGCTCTCCTCGTCCCCCTCCTCGTCATCACTCCAGGTGGACTCCGTCTGGGGGACGAGGTCAAGACAAGCAGGGCTGAGTAAGGGCATAGCGCCGCGGCAATAGCCGTATGGCAGGAAAAGCAGCATACCGGTGTACCGTTAGCGCGCGATAAAGGCATTGCACACAGCAAAGACAAGAGCCTCCCTACCGCCTGTCAAAGCTCAATGTCCTGAACGCGGAACCATGAGCATCACGCCGTCCTGACGCTGCTCTGTTCCTGGTCATCCTCCTCCCCATTTATCCACCCGCGGCGACCCTCCCTTCCCCTTCACCTCCCTCGTCCCCGCCCCCACCTGGCATCTGGGGCAGGTGCAGCCGAAGCCGTACACCTCCCTGCACTGCGCCTGCCGCTCCGCCAGCCCCCAGTGCAGCGGCACGTAGCTCTGCGCCAGCTCCGTGCCGGCGGGCAGGTCGTGCAGCGCGCGGAAGGCCACGTGGGTGCTGCCGGGGCGGCCGCTGTCAAAGTGGTCGAAGCGAGCCACGTTGGGCAGACACTCGTGGTTAATGAGGGAGGCCTGGTGGGGAGGGCGGTGGCGGAGGGGTGGAGCAAGGCTGTTATGTGGCATAGCAGGACGGTTACCATGCGACCAGCTAACCCGTGCCTTACAAGCCCGCACACGACCGGGCCGCCTTCCCATGCCGCGGAGTGCTCATGCTCCCCAGAGCCCCCTTACCTGCGCATACAGCGCGCTGCCTCTCAGCCGCCGCTCGCCATCCAACACCTCCCCCGCCTGCTCCGCCTCCCTGCCGCCGCCGCCGCGCCTCGCAGCCGCATGGCCAGCCTCCTGGCCTTGTCCCCGCCCCTGCTCGCCTTGCCCATTCGGGCCCCGCCCTGCTGGCCGCCCCGCTGCCGCTGCTGCCGGCTGCTGCTGCTGCTGCGATGCGGCCAGGATGCCGTACGAGTTGAGCTGCTCCTTCCTGAGCAGCGCCGCCAGCTCGGTGGGGTCCAGGGGGGGTGCAGCAGCGCCGGCTCCGCCTGTCAGACCTGGAGCAGGAAAAGCCGCGCACACATAAGCAGCAAACCCGCGGCAGGACGCGCAAGTGAAGCGTTGTTCAAGGGGCCTGCGGAGAGCTTGCGGCCGACAGTGCGCAATGGCAAGGCCTAGCCGACCGACGATGCGCTCTGGCCACCTCCATCTTAGCCCCTGGCTTCCCAGCCACCGCTAAGCCTCGCTAACACCCACGACCACCGCGCCCTCCGCATAAGAAGGAAAAGCGTAGGGTCTTCTTCTCCTTTCCCCTTCCTCCCTGCATGCTGCTCACCCGCCAGCACCTGCCCCAGCAGCGGCGCCAGTCGTGCCGCCAGGGCCAGGTCAGCCTCCGAGGGCTCCCCCGCCAGCTGAACCAGTGCGCTGAAGCGCCGCTCTGTGGCAAGAGAGGGGACTGGGTTAACTGAGCCGAAAGGAAACACTGACCGTAACCATAGGGGACGGCAGGGTTCCGCGTTGGATCACACGGCGAGGAGTACACGGAGATCAGTAACCGCAAACAGGGCCAGGACGTCAACATGGTCCTGGAATGTGTACCTTGCCCTTCTGCGTCCTGTGCCCTCCTCGCCCCGCCCCTTTTCGTCTTGAAACCACTCCCCCACCCCCTTGGGGCCGTACCTGCCTCCTGCGAGGGCGTGTGCCTGAGCGCCAGCGCGTGCAGCAGGAAGCGCAGCTGCCCCTGCTCCTCAACGGAAAGGCCAGCGGCTGGCTGACCACCGGGCGCAGCGGAAGGTCCTGCTGCTGCTGCTAGCCTGGCATAGGCGCTGCGGGAAGGAGGGGATCGGGGAAGAGAATGGATTATACTTCTATTGCGGGCAAGGCAATGTGCTATAGTCAGGAGTGTTGGAAGGGGCAAGGTAGCCACGGGTCTCCTAGAGGCAATGACTTGGCGGAATTAAGTGAGGAATGTGGGTGCGAGGCGTCTGCTGCTCCTGGCAGAAGCGGCGCGAGGTCTTACCTGCAGATGGGGCTCGAGTGGATCCATGGAGTCGACTGTGCAGCTTGCAGACAGGAGGTGCTGCAGAAGCACGCCTGGCGGCATCCCGTGCATGGAAGGCATTCTGTATTGCAGACGAGTTGCGGTAACGGGTGGGGGCAGTGATCCATGGATGGCTTGAAAGCGTTGCTAAACGGCGCCGGATGGTCCAGGTGCGGGTTTGCGGCGCCGTCGTAGAACGCTATGCTCGCAGCTATAATTGTGCAAAAGGACTCCCTTGCTGCTCATACGCAGCTTGGGGTCGGTGTACCTTGTGGCCCGATTGCCCGCAAGCACGCCGCACATGTGCTCATAGCCATTTCAGGCGTGACCAAAAGGAGGATGGGCGCTTCCTCAAGGACGACTTCTCCACCCTTCACATCCCTCGTCGTATGCAAGCACCTTCCTTTCCTAGCATGTATACGGACTTCTAAAGTGCCGCCTGGCAACGGATATGGAGCGGCGCCTGATTGCATTGTAGTTCCGTTATCTATGCGCGTACACTCCTTACTGATGTCACCCAAAGGCGCTGCCAAGCAGCCAGCACTGATTGTCCAAGTAGTTCTCCAAAATTATAATATCTGCGGTAGCTGCCACCAACGTGTATCTACTTTTTGTTAACGACCTCTTGTAAACAGTTGGATGGGGGAACTCGAGCGGTTTGTAGTACAACGACAGTGTACAGCAAGCGGCATCTCTGCAGCTTCGTTTCAGGCGCGTTAAGTTAGTAGCAGCTGCCCATCACTTCACACCTAGGAGCGGCGGCAATTTTTGGTGTTTTGTTAAGCGCACTTTTGGAACTTGGTCTGCTTTTCAACCGCAAGAGCCGGTTGGGAGCTAAAACCTTACAGCTATGCAGCATCTCTCCTTAAGGAACGAAGGTGTCACTGTCAGGCCTGGTGGCCTCCGGGATCGTCGAATACGCTTGGGGCTTGCGCTGCGCAAGGGCCCTGGACCATGCCGGGGCGCCCCGCCACCGCTGCGAGTGGCACAGGTTGAGCCGCAGGTAAAAGCATGCATAGAATTTAGGAGCTTCAATCTACCAGACTACGCTCTCATCTGTTGGTCTTGCGTCCATGTGACTTATGCGAAACCACCCGAATTCCAGGTGACTATTGCGAAACCACCCGAACAAGCCACCTCCCTAAATTCAAGCCGGGGACGGCCGCCATACACAAGGCTGAACGCGGAAGCTCCGTGCACGCTCTGTGACATGTAAGAGTCGCCTAGGGGCTTGTCGCCCAGTGCTCTCTTGGCTACCATGCAACTCGGGGCTTTGTGCTCGGTTACGGCCAAGGAAAATGGGGGATTGTAAATTAACTGGGTCCGTGATGCTTTGCTATGAACTGGCCGCTAGCTCTTTTACCACCAGCAATCCAGCATGCTTGCTGCCATGCAACACCTTTTAGACAGATTAGAACGCCAAATAACCAATGGATGCAGATTGTGTACATTTTTAAACTATATACTTTGATTTCAATTATGCAGTTGGGCTTGCAACGCCGAAGTGTATGGCGAACTCCTGGCTGTTCGCGACCCGCACCAAGATGGGAGCCCAGAAATGACGTTCAGGTGAGGCAGAAGAATTTTCCGACACTCCTATGCAGCCTAAAGCTTTTTTCCTTTTACGTCTTCACTCTTACCTTAAATCCATTCTTTCATAGGCAACTGTACGACACCATGCAAGACTTTGCTGCCGGCCTGACCGACCTGGGCCTCCGCCAGTACGACAAGGTGGCCCTCTTCAGCGAGAACTCCAATCGCTGGCTGGTCTCCGACGGCGCCGTCATGAGCTGCGGTGCCGCGGTGGCGGTGCGGGGCGCCACAGCCCCTTCCGAGGAGCTGCTCTACATCTGCGGGCACAGCGAGGCGACGGGGCTGCTGGTGCAGGACGGGGCGGCGCTGAGCAGGATCACGAAGGCGGCTGCGGAACATGAGCAGAAGCAGGTACGGTTAGCGGAAACGGGCAACGGGATTGCGAAAGACCCTCTGGCGCTCAGCGAGCGCCGCTTGATGACTTAACGTCCCTTCTACGCTATCCCTCGCTGCCTCTGTTTCTTAATTCCAGGAGGGCAACCCGCTTGCGGCGCTCCGCTTCGTGGTAGTGCTGTGGGGCGAGGTGACACCCGCGCAGACGGAGGGGCTGCGTTGCCCCGTGCTGTCGTACAGCTCAGTGCTGGAGAACGGTGCGGCGGTACGGCGGAGCGGCGGGTTCAAGCCGGCTGACGTGGCGCCGGGTGACCTGGCCTCTCTGGTGTACACGTCGGGAACCACGGGTCAGTCGGGGTGGGGGCCATCCAGAGATTTCGGACTGGTAGCCGGACAGACATGATCACATGAATGAGGATGTGCAGGCAAGGTCCTTTCAGTCTTTCAATTTGGGTCATGTAAATTACTTTGATCCTCCACCTTCTATCCTTCAGGCCACCCGAAAGGCGTCATGCTGACGCATGCTAACCTGACGTATCAGGTCCGAAACCTTTCGTACTTCCTCTCCGTACAACCTGGTGACCGGGTGTTGAGCCTTCTGCCGCCCTGGCACATCTACGAGCGCGCGGCTTCCTACTTTGTGTTCAGCCGAGGAGGACACCAGGTATGGACAGCGATGACCCAGGGGAACCAAGATTGGGTGGCGGTACGTGTCTGAATGCTGGTTACTATCTTCTCTATGCGGAGGCAATGGCAACTGTTCTTCACCCATGTACGCCAGCTGTCTCAGTAGTCATACATGAACCTCCCACGTTAACCTCCCAACCGGCCCAGGTGTACACCAACATCCGGCGGCTGCGTGACGACCTGAGCTCCTACCCGCCCGACCACTTTGTGTGCGTGCCGCTGGTACTGGACACCCTGCACTCGCGGGTGCGGCAGCGGCTGGCGGCGGGGCCCAGGCACCGGGCAGCCATCGCCTCGGCGCTGCTGGCGGCCGGAGTCGCGTACGTGCGCGCCAGGCGGATCGTGAAGGGCATCTCCCTGCAGCATGCGCTGCCGGCTGGGAATGATGAAGAGGGTGCGGAGGCGGCGGCTGGAGCCGGGAAGGGAAGCGGGGCTGGTGGTGGTGTGCTGGCGTTGCTGCGGCGTTTCTCGCAGGTGGTGGGTGCGGCGGTGCTGATGGCGCTGCTGGCGCCCCTGCATGCGCTGGCGGGGGTGCTGGTGTACGGAAAGGTGGGTGACCGGAGAGAGGGTCCTTTTGCATGTCATTACGACCTGTCTACCTCTTTCGCGGTCTCCATTGCTTGCCTTCCTCTCTCTCTGGATTTGAATCCGGCTCCCTGCGTCTCCTCCTCCTCCAGATCCGCGCCGCTCTGGGGGTGCGCAAGAATGTGATCAGCGGAGGGGGCTCCCTGGCGGCGCACCTAGACGATTTCTACGAGGCCCTCGGGCTGCCCGTGCTCAACGGCTGGGGACTCACCGAGACGTCGCCTGTGCTGGCGTGCAGGCGGGCGCAGCCGCCCGAGCAGGTGGGGCATGCGTTGGGTTGGGACACCTGCGTATGGTGACATGGGACACGGGGCATGCGAGTCGGCGCCCAACATGCATGGTTGGGAGGCGTCTGAATGCCAGCGAGTGGCAGGGCGACTGGTCATCCTGTGTTTTCACACAGGGTAGCTTGTTTACCGGACCTTGCAACCATGAAGCATGAACAATCTTACTGTTACATCTGCACATCAAAGCTCCACTTGGGGCATCCTCGAGCCGTCCGCCGAGACTCCCCTCATCTTGGCCTGACTTCACACGGTCCTCCTCTGGTTGCCCCTCCATCTGCCTGCCGCGCCTGCAGAACATCCGTGGCACTGTGGGCCTGCCCACTCCCGGCACGGAGATCCGGGTGGTCGACCCGGAGACGCTGCAGCCACTGCCGGCGGGGCGGAAGGGGCTGCTTCTGGCGCGAGGGCCTGGGGTGATGAAGGGTTATTACCGCGACCAGGACGCCACGCAGCGGGCCTTCAGGGCAGGGGACGGCTGGTTCGATACGGGTGACCTGGGCTTTATCGTGCCCTCTGGCGTGCCCTTCTCCCGCTGCGGCGGCATGATTGTGCTGAGCGGTCGCGCCAAGGACACGATTGTGCTGAGCAGCGGCAAGAACGTGGAGCCGCAGCCCATCGAGGATGCGGTGGTGGCCAGCAGGCTGGTCAAGCACATGGTGCTACTGGGGCAGGTGGGTTGCAAGGCAAGGTCTACAGGCCCGCGGATGCGGCCCATTGTCCGACCCATGGGTCACTGCTGCTTCACGGACCCCAGTAACTTTCGCCGTGAATCGGGCACTTCGTGCTTCCTGCAGGACAAGCGCGAGTTGGGAGCGCTGGTGTGGCCGGATGAGGAGCAGATTCTGGGTGGTGGTGGCGGTGCCGACGGTAGCGGGGCCCCGGCTGAAGGAGCTGAGGGGCGTGTCGCCATTTCGGACGAGCAGCTGGAGTCGCGGCTGATGGAGGAGGTCACCAGGTGGGGTGCAGGAAGGGAGGGAGGGAGGGAGGCGCTAATGCAGGTTGCATGGGTGGTATGGCGGACAGGACAGGAAACCACCAGCTTGTCACCTTAAGTTCTTGTTTACCCAACAACCCGCCCACCGCACTCATCGTTATACTCACGCGGCTCAGTTCGATAAACACCCATGTCCCCTGTCTTTCATGTTTTCATCCCTCCGCACAGGTTGAACGCTGCTCGCCCCGACTACGCGCCCTTCCAGCACGTGGCGCACATCACCGTGGTGCGCACCCCGCTTAGTGTGGAGGGCGGCACGCTGACACGAACCATGAAGCCCCGGCGGCCCGAGATCATGAGGGTGCATGCGGAGGAGGTGGAGCGGCTGATGGGCAGGCTGCGGGGCTGAGGATGCGGGAGGTTGGTAAGGAGGAGGAGGTGGAGAGAGGTGAGGTGCGCAGCGGCGGGAGTTGTGCTTGCGTGAGAGGCGAGGAGCGACGCGATTTGGGTCGCTTAAGTTGTATGATTTGGTGGGGAGATGGATGAGTTTTGTGGAGTGAAAGGTGTATGGAGTGGCGTGGAGTGTTGCTGGATGTGCGTTGATCGTGGAGTGGAGTGTTGATGGTGAGGTTGATGGTACCGTAATAGACGCATTTGTAATAGTAGTAGTAGTAGTAGTTACATGCTTCGTATTTCGTATGTTTCTATCGAGTAAACGGGCGAATAATCGTATGAGTGGCATGGGTTGGATGCTGCAGAACCCCTATACCTATACATGTGAGTGCGAGTGTCGGTTTGCGTCCATCAGCTTTATTATAAGTGAGGACTGGTGATGAACCATGGGTCACGGACGCGCATTGCGATCCGTTTTCTGGCAACTGGGTCGAATTGGGCCTCCATTGACTCGGCTACATGGGAGGTGATGCATGCGGAATGGCATGGCATTCGGCATTCCGTAGCTTCTGGGCCGAGCCATGTATGCTGTTATCATGCACAATTCTTACCTTAATACCCTATCATGTATGCCCATGAGCTGCGGTATTTCAAATGCAGCTGTCCCTGTCTGGCTTCTTCCATTGTCGTTGAGGAGACCGAGTGGTTTGCTGTTTGTACTGTGTTGGTGTCTGCACAAGGCATGCCGCGAACCTGCTCAAATGCGGAAAGGCGGTTTGTTGGAAAGGCTATGGGTCCGAATTGGCTGGAGTTTTGTACGCGCACGTGCTTTGCTGTTTGTGCTTTGTCCTTTATGCTGTACGCCAAAAGCTGCCGTGTACCTTAGTATCGTTCTTAGTAGCAAGGGTTGTTGTATACCGGTATGATGTCATGCCATTCTTCTGCCTAACACTGCTCATGCTTGTGTTTTGTTGTCTGCCTGTGCGAGGGATCTGGAGTGTCGCGAGACTGTGCTGTGGGGTAGGTTGCATCGGTATTGTGAGTTTCGTTGTTCATATTTTGATACGTGCTTGGGTACCGGTATTGGGTAGGCCAGAATAATTCTTTGAAGTATAAGCGAATACGCTATTTTGGGTTCCATAGTAGGGACTCCACGCCCCCAGTCCGTCCCAAAACTCAATTCAGTAATGCGCCGCTGTAACTATTGAGTGTATGTATGTGTTACAAGCTTCGTACCGAGCTCGTAAGATCCGTCCGAGCCAGAAGGCTCATGGATCGCGAGCACAAAACGCGAAAACAACCAAAAGAAGAAAAGTAAAACAAAAGAGACAAACAAACAGAACGCTAATCATATGATAAACCCTGTCTGCGCAATCCTGCGACTTCGCATGCTAGTGATTACGCTAGCAAGCAATGCCTGATTCTCCATGCCCATGACAGCAATCATATCAGCATCCCGTGAGACACCACTTTCCCATATCTTATCACGCAAATCATCGTAAGCGGGACATTCAATGAGGATGTGTTTCTCATCTTCCACTCTCCCCGGCGACCCCTGCACGGCACACATAGGACAGACACGCGCTACTCGTTGCCTACCCCTAGGGCGATTGGCTTCAATGCCCCACACACACAGCCGAAAACGCATCAGGTTCACATGCTGCCGCTGAGTAATGTACCCCCTGTCAACCGGGTCACCCATCCAATTTTTGTACCTGCACATCTTAACTCCAACCCCTGGTACGGGGTCTACTGGGTTGAAAAGCCGCGGGTCATCTTCCAAACTCCTATCCTCCCAATCCGCATCCATTCTATCAGCAAACTTTTTAGTGAGAGCAGACACATTTAGCTCCGTGCCAGCAATACGTTCCACACGCGCATTCAAGTCCAACTCACCCCCCAAGGCCGTCAAATCCGTCCCTAACATTTTCAGAATCTTCAACACCTTAGAACCCCAGCCATCATAATGCTCAGTACTGAGAGCCGAACGAATTTCACCTCGCAACGCCTGGTGGTAGACCGTGTCCTTCTGCTTGACCAGGTCATTCCAAAACCTCAGAAACAGTTCCAGCCAGAAGACATGCAAGGGGCGCTGGTTAAACTCCTTAAACAGCAACTTATCAGGCGAGACTTTCACACCCGCAATCTCCCGAAGAAATTCCCTTTGTAACTGCACCATTGGGTCCCGCAAGGATCTGTCAAAGTACCTCGCGGAATTCTCGCAGTCCGTCATTAGCTTCAGCACCACATCAGGCCCCCACACCTGGACACCGTACGACAAGATGGAGCGGACTTGCACGTCGAAGCACTTAACTGCAACAGCAGGGACCAAAAGACCTAGGCGTTTTAATTTACGCTGAAGAGAAAACATAGCACGTCGGCCAGAGGTCAACAGTTCCTCTGTGCAGGAAACAAACGGTGTGCCAGGACCAAAGTGCAAACCAAGGTAACGGGCTCGTTGTACCCAGGGAATAACCATAGGTACTCGCGCATTTCCCTCAATAGAAGTCCACACCACGGGGCAAAGGGCAGCAAAAGCCTCGCGGATATTGGCACGAGGGTGGAAAACCATCAATTCACATTTACGGACATTCACCCGCATCCCAAAGGCCTCACACCACTCTCTCAAATCAGAAAGCAACACAATCAGCCGTCTGTGCGTCGTAGCGAAAAGGCTGAGGTCGTCGGCATACAGTTCCAACGGGATACGCCGGCCATCCGCATGGGGAGTCTGCTGCTTAGCGCGCATAGCATCAGGGAGCCACTTATCCTTAGCGTCAACATAGTCAGCAAACCCCTCGCCAAAAATCCCGTAAAGCGTAGGGCTGAGAGGGCATCCTTGCTTGACTCCCTGCGAAGATTCAAAAGGATCCCCCGTCACTCCGTCTACCCTGACACGCATCATGACCTTGTTGTAACAAGTCTTGAGAGCCTCCAGCATAGCGCCATGCACACCCCGTTCCTCCAACCTTAACCACAAGAGATCACGTGGCACCTTGTCAAACGCTTTCTCAAAGTCAATCTGACAAACGAACAGGGGGTCAACTGCATCTCGCCCCCCCTTATGTTTGTCCGTCAGATGTCGCAACAAAAACAGGTTGTGGCAGGTACCCCGCTTGCGTCGGAAACCTCCCTGATACGGCGACCTAGCTCCCACCAGCTCGCCCCAACGAGACAGCCTGTGCTCCAACATAAACGCATAAAGCTTAGACAAAACACCACCCACTGCTAAACCCCTATAGTTACCCTTCTCCATCACATCGCCTTTTTTGTGGATGGGCGTGAGCGCAGAGACCTCAAACTGCACAGGATAATCCCCCGTGCTGCGGATATGCTCTAGTAGCTTGAGCAGGTAAGGGGCTAAAACAAACATCCTTCTACTATTGAGTACCTGGCCCGCCGTCCATGCCGTCAGCGCCGTACTTTGCCCGTTCGGTCTGCCCGTTCAGCCCCTCGCTGCCCTCATGTCCACTGCTGCCATGTCGTGGCACGCCATATATGGTGCAATGAACCTTGCATGCCCTTCAGCCAAAGCATTGATGTGCGCTTGTGTAGGCTGCGGACTCAGCTTACATCTCTTACGCCTCCTGTAGGGGAAGTGCCCATGTCTCGACCCCTTTGTCGTGGCGCATTTTCTCGCAAGTCCTTTGATTTGCATCATTATGAGACTTTGCATCGTCGATTCCAAGCCGCATACGGCAGTTGGATCGTCGACTAGTTGCACGCTTCGTTCATGAAGTAACTAGTTAGGCGTCTACGATACCGTCTGTTGAGAAGGATTATTAGGACCGTCACTCCGGTAATCATGCCTTTACATGGATAGCGATTACGGCACCTCATGGCGATCTCTGTCCTCCGGTCACGGCTTGTTAATCATTACAGACTACGAACTAGTTGCACTTATTCTCAACGAGAGGGCTCTGTTAGCTTCTTAGGTGCAAGCGGTCTAACTTTCGGCACTTTCGAGCGCAAAAGCCGGCGTCAAAGCCTTCCAGCGATGCAGCAGCTATCAGTTAGAACTGATCACACAACTGCCTGGCCTTCTAGCCTCCGAAATCGGCGAACTTACATCGGGCATGTGTCGCGCAAGGCTCCGGGTCCTTACCGGGGTGCAGCGCGGCAACTGCGGGTAGCACAGGTTGAGCAGCAAGTCAGTATTGCATATGTTGACGGGCTTGGCAATCTAACTGCACCTATCACAGTGATCATCTCTATATTGCACCCAGGCGTCTGTCGGTAAACCGTCCGAGCAAGCCATACCTCTCAGCCCTAGCCAGGCTCAGGCGCGAAAGACACAGTTGGCTGGCGAGCTTCCTCGGACGCTGTGCGACATGTAAGTGCCTTACGGCTGGGATTTCGGTATTTGTGCGGCATGGCATTCGGTTACGCTTCCACACCATCATGTCCTTTTGTAGTTCCCTCTTATAAGGGCAGCCCTATGACTGCCATGACTTGTCACCGGGCGTTGACCGCCTGTATGCTTCTCCGGCATGCAACACCTTACTTCCGCTGAAGCCCGCCAAGTATCGTAACTATGCGAGCACAATTGCATCAATTGAAACAGTTGGCCGATTTTATCCATGTTGCAGTTGGGTCCGCAATGCCGAGTTGTATGGCGACCTCCTCGCTCTTCGTGACCCGCACCACCAGGGAAGCCCCGAGCTGACGTTCAGGTGCGGAGAGTGTTGTCTATAGCAGCTATCCATGTATCTTATGTATCGCATCGTAGTTATGCGTACCGTGGCACATCGTGTGGCGCTTCCCTCGCCAGCCGCCTACACCTTGACTGGAAAACTCTCTTTCAGGCAACTGTACGACACCATGCAAGACTTTGCTGCCGGCCTGGCCGAGCTGGGCCTCCGCCAGTACGACAAGGTGGCCCTCTTCAGCGAGAACTCCAATCGCTGGATGATCTCCGACGGCGCCGTCATGAGCTGCGGTGCTGCGGTGGCGGTGCGGGGCGCCACCGCCCCTTCCGAGGAGCTGCTCTACATCTGCGGGCACAGCGAGGCGACGGGGATGCTGGTGCAGGACGGGGCGTCGCTGGGCAGGATCACGAAGGCGGCTGCGGAACATGAGCAGAAGCAGGTAGGAGGAGCAGGAGAGACACGGTAGCATCCCTGATTTTTATAAATACCGGTAGTTGGTGTAACGTGCTGTTTACATGTGGGCCACCCCCGATTGAGATCAGTGGGCTTCCGATTGCGCATGAGCTGCCGTAGCGCTGTAAAGTACGCAAATATCGTCTTGAAAACCCTCGTCTTAACCGCCGCGCTCGTGTGTCGATTCCAGGAGGGCAACCCGCTTGCGGCGCTTCGCTTCGTGGTAGTGCTGTGGGGCGAGACGACACCCGCGCAGACGGAGGGGCTGCCTTGCCCCGTGCTGTCGTACAGCTCAGTGCTGGAGAGCGGTGCGGCGGTGCGGCGGAGCGGCGGGTTCACGCCGGCTGACGTGGCGCCGGGGGACCTGGCCTCTCTGGTGTACACGTCGGGAACCACGGGTCAGTCGGGGTGGGGCTTGGGGGCCATCCAGGACCGGCTGGTGGACAGGCAGAGGGGCGCCGCAGGCAATGCTACCTTGTGACGAAAACATTATTAGTGAAAGGCCCATTCACCGCGAATGTTGGGGGCTAGGGTAGACGGGTTGCTGGGTATAGGCCCCATTACCGATACAGACGCCTCCCTTCCCGCTGCCCCCGCTGCCACCTGCCCGTCCTTCAGGGCATCCCAAGGGCGTCATGCTGATGCATTCCAACCTGGCGTACCAGGCCGGCGGTCTGCAGTACTTCTTTCCCGTGCAACCTGGTGACCGGGTACTGAGCATGCTGCCGCCCTGGCACATCTACGAGCGCGCGGTGGCGTACCACTACCTGTACCGAGGTGCCCACCTGGTATGAAGGGTTGGGGACTTGCGGTATATGGGTGGTAATTATCCTTGGAAGGTGCTTAGGCTAGGGAGGGCCGTATGCATGCATGATTGCGCCTAGCACTTCGCCTAGCTAGCCAGTCCCTGTGTATGTTCTGCTTGCACCCCGCGTCATGGCGTTTTGCCCCTTCCCCCCCCCCAACGGTGTACCTGACCATCCATGTACACCACATGCATGGCTACTCTAGGTCGGGATGCATGGCTTGGTGCCTTACCACCTCATCCCTAGTTCCTATTCCACCAACTTCCACCTAACTGCACTGCACCCTGCACGACTGCCTGCACTCCACTCCTCGCCCTCCCAGGTGTACACCAACATCCGGAAGGTGCACCACGACATCGCCACCTTCCAGCCCGACCACTTCTCAACCGTACCTCTCATCCTGGATTCCCTGTATTCGCGGGTGAGGCACAAGCTGGCGTCAGGGCCGCAGCACGAGGTCGCCATTACCTCGGCGCTGCTGTCGGCCGGAGTCGCCTACGTGCGCGCCAGGCGGATCGTGAAGGGCATTTCCCTGCAGCACGCGCTGCCGGCTGGGAATGATGAAGAGGGTGCGGAGGCGGCGGCTGGAGCCGGGAAGGGAAGCGCGGCTGGTGGTGGTGTGGTTTCGTTGCTGCGGCGTTTCTCGCAGGTGGTGGGGGCGGCGGTGCTGATGGCGCTGCTGGCGCCCCTGCATGCGCTGGCGGGTGTGCTGGTGTACGGAAAGGTGGGTGTGGTACCCCGGTATATGGTTGGTGATACGCTGGGTACCCCCTGCGCTCCCTCCTGTTACAAAGTCCTTTGCTCCCGTATGCCACATGCCTCCTATCCGGTAAGCACCCTCGCCCCTTGGCCCTTTCAGGTCCGCGCCGCCCTGGGGGTGCGCAAGACGTTCACCAGCGGCGGGGGCTCCCTGGCTGCGCACCTGGATGACTTCTTCGAAGCCGTGGGGCTGACGCTGTGCAACGTGTGGGGACTCACCGAGACCTCGCCCATGCTGGCGTGCAGGCGGGCGCAGCCGCCCGAGCATGTAAGGCTCTCCCCTCCTGGTGGTGGGCGTGTATAGCACAGGAAGCATGTGACACGCGGGGTGGCATGGAAGACGCTGCACGTCCCGAATTAGTACTGGCGCATGCGGGGCATGAGCCGTCTACTTTTGTAACTGGGTTTACGCAACACCGCCCCCATCTGCCTGCCTGTCTCGCAGAACGTCCGTGGCACTGTGGGCCTGCCGAACCCCGGCACGGAGATCCGGGTGGTCGACCCGGAGACGCTGCAGCCCCTGCCGGCGGGGCGGAAGGGGTTGGTTATGGCGCGGGGCCCCGGCGTCATGAAGGGGTACTACCGGAACGAGGAGGCAACGCAGAAAGCTTTCAGGGCAGGGGACGGCTGGTTCGATACGGGTGACCTGGGCTTTATCGTGCCCTCTGGCGTGCCCTTCTCCCGCTGCGACGGCATGATTGTGCTGAGCGGTCGCGCCAAAGACACGATTGTGCTGAGCAGCGGCAAGAACGTGGAGCCGCAGCCCATTGAGGACGCGGTGGTGGCCAGCAGGCTTGTCAAGCACATGGTGCTGCTGGGGCAGGTGCGTGTGGGTGGGAACACTTAGGAACCCAATACCCGAAGCCGGACCCGTGGGTCACTGCCACTGTCGCTTACCATGCCTTCTTACATGTATCGTATCTACATGGCTTCTACAGGACAAGCGTGAGCTGGGAGCGCTGGTGTGGGCGGATTACGAGGCCGTGGAGCAGATTCTGGGTGGTAGTGGCGGTGCCGATGGTAGCGGGGCTCCGGCTGAGGGAGCTGAGGGGCGTGTCGCCATTTCGGATGAGCAGCTGGAGTCGCGGCTGATGGAGGAGGTCACCAGGTGGGGTGCAGGAAGGGAGGGAGGGAGGCGCTAATGCAGGTGATATGGGTTACGTTACCAGCCAAGCTGGCCTGTGTTGGTGTGATGTTACAAGGCAGGGCCTACTGGTCGAAGGGGCTACTTGTGACTTGGCCGCCTCCCATACACCGTCTGTCTACATCATCTCTCCCTTTTCACCGTCTCTCCTTTCCCTCCTCTTCCGCTCTCCTTCAGGCTGAACTCCGCTCGCACCGACTACGAGCACTACCACCACATCGCGCACATTGCCGTGGTGCGCGAACCGCTGAGTTTCGAGGCCGGCACGCTGACACGCAGCATGAAGCTCAGGCGCCCCGAGATTATGAAGGTGCATGCGAAGGACGTCGCCCAGCTGATGGGCAGGCTGAGGGGCTGAGGGAGAGGGGGTAACCCGTTCATGAAGATTAACATATATTAATGGTTACGATGGTGAGAAGTTGCAGGGGACGTAGCCAGCTCGCAGTTAGTCCGTTCTAGTCCCTTTGCTTGTGATCGACAGCGCGAAACACCTCGTTGGATGAACCATGGGTCATGGCACAAAGTGTGATCCGGCGTCTAGTAAGTCGGCTTGTTGTCATGATCAGGTTGCAAGAAGAATGAGCATGTGCAATGCGTTGGGTGGTTGGGAACTCGACGAAGATATGCCTTCCTTATGCACCTCATCCGGGCATACATTACCCATGCAGGAGCCCAGATTTTGAGCCAAACCTGGGTATGGGGTTATTTTATCGCCATTCCTCGTAAGCATGCTTGGGATGTGACTGTTCCTAGCCCCGCCGGTATCAGGTGCAGTCAGTGGCAACCGTTGTGTTTTGCTTTGCCCTCGTCGTCTCTTCGTTGTGTTGAGTATTGCTGCAATACTTTGGAGGTTTGTTCTCTCCTTGGCTACCACCTCTCGTTGTCTACGTCTGCGTGATTGTGCGTGAATGAGGTGAAATTGCTGCAGACTGCACTGTTGTCATCGAGTACAATTGGTCGACCATAGCACACATAACCTATTAATACATGCGTGCGACAGTAAGGTTAGGGCACGGTCATGGTATTCAACAGGATAGTACGGACATTACAAGTCCTGTGAGGACATCGCACAGGGGTCTCGGGGCGCTCATTTCGATACCCAGAGCACATCAATTGAGCAGCGCACGAGGCACCGCAGGGCATTTGCCTCCCGAACCATGTAACCTTGATGTCCCGCTTGCACTGTCAAGAAAAGCAAGATAAAAGCGCCGCCGGGGACAGGCCACACCACCAGCCTGTGGGCATCCTCTATTGTCAGACCAACACAGCCTCCCCATTAACAGTATTGCCCGGGGCAAAAGCCGCCGCCCATCAAAGACCCCCATGACCCGTCACGGGACACCATGCGGCGTGAGGGACAGCATGCCGCGTGACTGCCGTGCTGATTCCAAAAGCATCTATGCCTCGTAACCGGGTACTCGTTGCATGCTTCGTTGCGCGGTCTCGTTCGTTTTGTAGACTTCCGGTGCCAAAAACACGGCTTCTGGATAGGTGACGTGGGAACTGTCACCCAAATATAAGCTTAACCAGGATGACAAGGATGTTAACTGGTACAAGCACGCCTGTGAAAAGAGAGAATAGTGCCGAGGAATGTTACTGTTTACTGAGCCGAAGGGGAGGTAACAGACAGGACGGACAGCTTTAGGGAGGCCTGGAGGGCCTCGAAGGCACTTACCTCGGAAGTACTGGACGGCGTGTATACCGCCTATTATTGACATCTTTAAGGAGTTGGATTCCCTCATTTGCGAGAACCCAAAGCCCCCTGCATACAGGATATATACACGGCGTATCAACAACTAGACTATTGCAAGGCGTAACAGTCCATGCGCGATGTCGATCTTCAGCAGACAACCTACTCTTCTCAAGAAAGCGCTCATTGTTTAGCACTGCCACGCCGTTGAGAACAAGTAATACAGCCTGCAGTTCCAGTATTTGGTCGCTGGTCAGCACCTGGCTTGGCATTTGAAATGAGTCTCACGTCCTACGAACCTGCAAAAGCGTCCATAACGTCATCCTCTCCTACTGAGCTCCCTTTAAGTATTTTGGCTCATAAATGTTGCACAAGGAAGGGCTTCGACGTACGCGCTTCTCCCTGCTAATGTTGTTGTTCGCACTGCTATATTCTTGTGAATGCTTAGCTGAAAGCAGAGATGAACGTCTTGCACAAGCATCTGCGCAGAACGGAAAACGTCAGTCCAGGCATCATGTACGGCTTGCCGTTAGCGTCGGTTCGCGATAAACCACAGATGCTTGCTACCGCGTGCATCCGCTTGCCGTCGCGACCCTGACAGCTTGGAAAGCTTACCGAGGCGCAGTTTCTTGGAGATCACTGCTGTGGTTTATCCAACGTTGCTGATAAGCTTGCCAGCCACAAAACCTTGCGGTTGAGCGCAAACAGCGCTTCGTTGGAACCAACATGTCAGGCGGCCTTTGTGTGCTTGCCGCTCTCTTGGCATTAGGCTGCACGCCGCAGCTAGGTCTGGCGGAACGAGCGGAGAAGACCCCATGGTTCTGCCATGACTTGGATTGCCCTCCTTTCAAGGTGGTCAAGTCCTACAACGAGGACGTAGAGTTGCGCTCCTACAAGGCCGGTGAGTTATGACACGGCCAAGGCCAGTGGCGCTGAGGGCTGCGTCTTTTGGTCCCATGGTTCACATACGGCGCTTGCGGGCAGATTGCGGCGAGCGACTTAATCACTTCAACCAGTCCCACTACGGCACTTAGTGAACGCTTCCAGGCATGCTCTCACAATTTATCATCCACATCATGCTGCGGCGTTCGGCCGACGCACGCTAATCCTTTTCCAGCCTGCCTCTCCCTTCTTCGCCGGTTGCTGCCTGCTAAGCCCGTGCTCAGCATGGCTCCATGTCCAATTCCCAGCCTCCCGCGCTGCGCCGCTGCCCGGGCCCCTGCTCGCATGTGTTTGTCCCGGTGCGGCTCCCCTGTGTTCCCCCTCACACCCGCAGGCATGTGGGTGTCAACCAATGTAACGGGCACCCAGTACGACACCGCCGTGTCCACCGGCTTCAAGGTGGGGCCGCACCGCGCTCTCCCCAGGTTACTGTAAATTTCGTACGCAAGCTTGCAAACGAGCGTCTTTCCCCTCCCCTGCCCCCTCATCCCCGCCCTCAGCGCCTGTTCGCCTACATCAGCGGAGCCAACGCAGCCCAGCAGGAAATCAACATGACGGCGCCCGTGCGCGTGCAGGTCACACCTGGACAGGGACCCTTCTGTGAGGATCACTTCAAGATCTCGTTCTACGTGCCGTACAAGCTGCAGGTACGGCAGCGTTGAGTAAGGCAGTAATTTGTGCACGGCCGTACGTTCGGGAATAGAGGCAACGTGTGTGTTTAGGACCTGACAGCCCCCCGGCACCCGGGGGCCTCCTGCAGGACAACCCGCCAGCGCCCCTCAGCGCTGAGGTCTTCGCTGATCCCGCCCCTGCTGCGGACTTTTACGTCCTGTCGTACGGCGGTCGTACGGACGAGCGGAAGCTCCTGGATAAGGCTACCGAGCTCACTGACTTTTTGAATAAGCAGAAGTTGCCGTACGACTATTCGAGGTTTTACAGCGCTGGGTACGACAGCCCGTATCGGGCCCACGACCGTCACAATGAGATCTGGATCGCAACCAAATGAAGGTGCGGTAGCTGAGGTAGCCGTCTGTTAGATCCACTGGCCGCAAAACCTGCAATGCGGGTGGGGTGAAGTGAGGTGTGTACGGCACTGCTTGGGTAGGGGCATCTTGAGGTCCTTGTACCCATACTGCGGTAGGTGGGCACTAGGTGGGATGCCGCTATGCCGCTACGCATGAAGAGGGCTTAGTTCTGCTGGGAGGCCTCGAGGCTTGGAGAAGGGAGAGGGAAGGAGGCTGGATGGTTGCGATGGAAGATGGGTGATGGCGGCTGGCTCAGAGTCGGTGATGGGGGTAGCTGCTGGACTGCCGGGTCTGAGCAGCCTGAGGATTTCACGTGGCCGGATTGCCGTGTTGACGCCTCCCTCTGCTGGTAACACTGCAGCAGAGGGTGTGGCAAATTAACAAGGTGTTGCAGCAGTCATCTTTGCAGCAGCATTGCGTTGAACGAAGGAGTTGTCGCTGTTGCTGCTGGTGTTGATGTTGCCTGGTCCAACCGGAAACGTGTAGGAGCAGGAATGCAGGAGGCTTGGACGAGGGTCCTGGCGGGCGGGTGAGGCTGGTTGAAGGGCGTTGTGGCCCGCCACCCTCACCCATGTAACGATGGTAGCGAAGTACAGGAGCTTTGTTGAAGCGCAAGTGCTGTGGAGGCGAACGGGTCATGGGCTCATTGTGACCTGCGGTCGTGCGGTGGCCTTCCCGGTAAGACCTCACATCACGTAACGAACAGGAAAAGATAGGCAAGGACAGCCACGATACTCAGTAGCAAGAACGCGACTTTGCGGTGCATCCGAAACCAGTTCCGGAGCAACAGTTAGTTAGCTGGATCCAGGAGCCCTAATATGCGCCAGAGATGCCTCTAGGCAATTCGTGGCAGCCGAGATACAGGCTGTCTGCTGCTAATATTCCGTGAAATGTTGTTGTTTTCAACGTTGTGAACTCAAAATGCCAAGTACGCCTCAACAAAACATATTCACTGCCACCTAGCGCATTAAACTACGCTAATGAGCGCGCATTCAGGGCCTAGTAATCGTGGGCCGCTAGTTGCAAACGGGCCAGTCGGTCCTGCACCCCGGCCGGTTGCGTGGAATCCGCTCGTCTACAACTTACCAGTGTACGTTTCAATAGCAACTATACTCGTGGCCTTCTTTATTAAGACTGCCGTTCACCAAATCCCGGAGGTAGGACTTCCTGTCCACGTGTGCAGCTGAATGGCACACGAGGGCACGACGGTCGGGAATCGCCATAGCGGGGAAAGTTGAAAAGCAACCTGGGATAACTCCTAGTTCTCTGTCCGCATACCATTTGCACGGGGCGTGCTGCTACGGTCTTATCATAGCTCGATGTCTTCCTTGGGTAACACCTAATCGACCCGAAGTCCTTACACCGTGCAAGGGGGAGGGTTTAAACGGGCCACCAAAACTTACACGTGGAAAGTAGCTTTGCGTAACCCCCGTACAGCCCGGCTTCCGGGACCTGGCGCCTTGCCTCCTGCCGTACCTCCCCGCCTCCCCCACATGGTTACTTAGCTGTTTCCTCTTTCCCCATCTCCCCCATCTCCCCCATCTCCCCCACCTCCCCCGTGCCTCCCTCAGGGCCATGTGGGTGTATACTGGCGCGGCGGCAAGCTGCTTCGGCGCATCACGCCCCCCGGGGTGCACGTGCGCATGCCGCTGATCGACACGTACGAGGCCATCCAGGTCACCATGCAGGTGGGGGAGGGGGGTAAAGAGGAAACGACTAACGATGGGACTAAAGAAGAAGACGAAGAGGTTGGTGGGGAAGGTGGGGGGCAAGGAGAGGCAGTCGGGGAGGTGAGGGACGTGGCAGCCGGGCAGTGGGTGGGGACTGTGGGGAGGTGGGGCCCACATGGGAGAGCAGAGTGGCATGGAGAGAGCGGTTGGCTGGCTGGTTGGGTGAGGGAGGCTGGGTTAGGGAGGCTGCTGCAGCTGTTGCCGCTGCTGCTGTAGCTACCCTGCCGGTACTGCAGCATACCAGAAAGAACTCAACCCCGGCCCCCCCGCCTGCCGTACCTCTGCCGTACAGACGGACAAGGTGACCAACATTCTGTGCGGCACCAAGGGAGGAGTCAGCATCACCTTTGACAAGATCGAGGTGCGGCCGAAAGGGAGGGAGGGAGGGAGCTGCAGGGAGGGGTCCTGGCGGTTTGTGGGTGGGCAGCTGCCGTACGTTATGATTCTCCCATGCGCCCATGTGCTGTACGGCACCTGTCCAGGTCGTCAACCGCCTCAAGAGGGACCTCGTGTACGACACGATCCGGGAGTACGGCGTGCACTACGACCGTACTTGGATCTACGACAAGATCCATCACGAGATCAACCAGTTCTGCAGCAGTCACACACTGGAGGAGGTCTACATCAGCAAGTTTGACCAGGCAGGTTGGGGTGCTGTTGCTGCTGCTGCTGATGCTAATGATGGGGAGTGCTGCTGACGTCGGACACGGGAGGAGTCAAACGACCCATGGGTCACACTGCCGCAGGTGGACGAGCGCATCAAGGACGCGCTGCAGGCCGACTGCGACCGCTACGCCCCCGGTATCGAGATCATCGCGGTGCGGGTCACCAAGCCCACCATTCCGCAGTCCGTGTCGGACAACTACGTAGCAATGGAGGTGAGGAGGGGAGGGGGAGGGGAGGGAGGGAGGGGGGAAATTAAGTGATAGATGCCGCAACGAGTCCCAACCACGGGGGAGGTGATGAGGGAGGGAGGAGGGCGGGGAGCGCAGGGGAGGTGGCGGGGCGGGGCCGACACGGGGTAGACAGAGAGACCAAGACCGCAAGAGAGGTATGTTGCGAGGGCTGTATAGAGCATCCATGGAGATGCCTTTCCATCACACCCCCCTCCCGCCCCCCACTCACCCCCCTCCCCCCCCCACCTCAGGTTGAGCGCACCCGGGCCCTGGTGGCGCTGGAGCGGCAGCGGGTGCAGCAGCGGGAGGCGGAGGCAGACAGGATACGGGCGGTGGCGCAGGTGGGGGTGAGGGTGAGGATGGGACTAAGGGCTGGGAAGGGAGGTATGCGGACGCAGCCTGATCCGCCGGTGTTGCCAGCAGCAGCCGGTCCCCCTTCCCTCCCCTCTCCTCTCCTCCTGCTCCCCCCTCTGGGTCTTCCTTCACGGGTTGCCTCCATCGTCACCACCGCGGTGTCGTACTTTTCCCCCTCCGTCTGCTCCTGCTCCTCCTCCTCCTGCTCCCCCCGCCCCCACTGCATGGATCGGGAAAAGGAATTGGGACTCGTTGTTTCACTTGAATGATTTCCCCACCCCCTCAGGCCCAGCGTGCTGCGGAGACCAGCACCATCCTCATGCAGCAGCTGCTGGCGGAGAAGGAGGCGGAGAGGCGGCAGGCGGAGATAGAGGACGGCATGTACCGCGCCAGGCAGCGAGCGCGGGCGGATGCGGAACACTACCGGTGCGTGGGCTGGGTGCGGAGGTTGACACTGGGGCTGGGCTGGGTGCGGTGGGTGGTGAGGGGGGGTGCGGAGGGTCGTGGGTGGTGAACTGGTGATATGGGTGGGGTAGGAGGGTGCTGGGGTGGGGTCGTGTGGGAGTGCGTGAAGACACACACCCTGCGGGTGCGATATGTGTTAAGAAAGCTGTGTGTTCGCCTACTTGCGGAGGGCGAGGGCCGCAGCTGCTCATCATCATCATCGTCATCGTCATGTGACCAGTAGACTCTGTTGGCTGCTTGAACAGTTGACAACCCGCCTGCAATGTAGCATGCATGTCGCTCTGCCACCGACTGCCTCAACCCCCTTCCCCCGCCCCCTCCCCAGGCTCCTGCGGGAGGCTGAGGCGCTGCGGGCCAAGCTAACTCCGCAATTCCTGGAGTACTCCCTCATACAGGTGGGGGTGTGGGAGGGGAGGGGGGTCAAAGACCATACCAAATCATAGGAGGCCACAGGTTAGGGCAAAGCATTGAGGGTAGGAGGCGGCAGGGTGCCACAAGACAAAGTGTTGGTTAGTATTCCCTACCGATACCGAGTCCGCGGTGATGAACTGGTGGGGGCAGCAGGGGTGCAAGGGTGCTACGACCGGGTAGTGTGGGGGGCTAGAGGCAGCAGGCGATGCTGAAGTGACCCATGGGTCACTCGCTCACTCCTCACCACATTCGCGCTTCCTTTCATCCTTCCTGTTTTCGTGCACCAGGCGGTTACCAACAACACCAAGATCTTCTTCGGCTCCCGACTTCCCTCGCTGCTGCTAGACACGCGGGCTGCCTTGAGGGGCGCATTCGCCCCTGCTGGAGGCCTCGAGGGGGAGGGGGTGGAGGTGGGGGAGGCGTTGGCTGAACATGCAGCAAGGCAGGCAGGAGGGGAAGAGGAAACGTCGCTTAAGAAGACGTTGGTGGAGCAGAAGGTGGAGGAGGAGGGGGGAGAGGCGGTTCAGGGAAGCGTTGGGGATTCGGCTTTGGACGAGGGCGGTTACCTTGCCCAAGGGGGATAGTTAGAAGGCAGCAGCCGAATGTAAAGCAGAATGTGGCGCAGGATTCGTTAGGGGAACAAACAGGCCGCGAGTAGGAACGTACGTATGTGTTCTGTCGAGCGTGTGTATCTCGTACAGAGCCCCCAATGCATGCAATCGGGGTTACAGGTTCTCGCAAGGCAAGGTTTTCGCAGTGTTGTACATTTCGTGAGTCGCATGCTGCATGGCGGTTGCTATCACCCAGTGGCCGCGTGAGAGGAGGTGCATGAGGAGGCATTGGAGCAGGGTAAAGAGAGGAAACTGAAGAGCTGTATGACGGGGCTAGGAGCCAGGGGGGGCAAAGAGGAAACAACCAAGGGAGGGCGGCTACGGTGAGGGGCCTGAAGGCATACTGGTAACGGACCGCTTCAATGACGGCAGGCGAGGTTGCATGCCCGTGGATTGCGCGATTGATACGTACTTTTCCGCAGCGGAGCGGAGCTCGCGGAGCCCGGAGTTCTTGTCCCTCTGGACCAGCCCCTCACCCGGGCACAAGAATATACAATGTGAGGGGTTCCCCCCAAGAAAGCTGCTGCAGAACTGGTGCCTCACACCTCTCTCTCCTGATAGCGCTACCCTACTGACGTGCCAACCAAACTGCCAACCTGCAAGACCTGCAACTCCAACCCCTACCACGATGCCGCCTAGAAGCCAAGAAGCCACTATCTCCCAACACATGCGCACAGACATGCACAAGCAACACCTCCTGGAACCCGCACGCTTCTCACATCCACGCCTACGAGTATCCGACTCCCGTAAGACTCCTCCTCCATCCTTTCATTCCCCCAAAGCGCCCCCCCTGCAATCCTGCAACAGCCCTGAAAGCCCCCACATCCTAACCCTGCCCCCCCAGCCCTCCACCTTCCCCTCTTCCCTCCCTGCCCCCCCCCTTGCTTCACTTATCACATCCCCCCCTCAGTCGCATGCACTCCGAATGCACTCACTGCATGAGTCGGGATATGGGATTGGGACTTAAGTTGTTTGCATTTCTTGTATTATTTCCCCCCTCAGTCGCACGTGACCTTGTAGAAGGGCCCGGGGGTGAGGTCGTCCACCAGCCCCACCTCACGCATGCGCCGCACCATGGAGGGGGGGACCGTGTAGTCGCCCTTGCCGCGAATGATCTCGTCGATAAGGCCCTCCATCTGGGGGTGGTGGGGGAGGAAAAGAGAGGCAGGTGGGGGGCGTGTTGGGACCGCACGCATGGGATCTCGTGCCGAAGAGCAGCAGGAGGAGGGCCACATCTGCGCACCTCTTCCCTCTCCGTTTCCCCTTTTGAAGTGTCTCACAGTTGCCACACACCCTTGTCCCCCTCATCCCCCCCCCCCACCCCTGCTCATCTTCTTTCCCCCCTCTCACCTTGGCCTCCTCGGGCGTCAGGAAGTTGTCCCGGCTGGTCGCCTTTTCCACCTCATCCTGGCTCATGCCCGTGAACTTCATGTAGTAGCGGCAAAACAGCTGTGCGGGGGGGGGGGGGAGGCGAGGGGGATGAAGAGGGAGAGGGGGTGAAGTGCGGGCTTAGCTTAGCTTACGGTATTCCATACAAAGCTGTCCGGGTTGCTAGTGCTGCAACGTTTGGTGGGTGGGGAGCTTGGCTTGGGGCCACGTCCTCCCCACCACCCCTCAAATCCCTTCCCGGCCCCTTCCCCCCGTCCCTTTCCCCCGCCCCACCCCTCCCCCCCCCGCGCACCTGGTACAGCGCGTTGAGCTCCTCCACCGTCTTCTTGACCTGGTAGATATCGCCCTGGGAGCCGCCTGAGGGAGGGAAAGAAGAATACCCAATGTGGGGCGGGGGGACAGGGGAGGGGTAAAGAGGGCGGGTGTGGAGAGGTGAGGGTCAGACAGAAGGGAGGGGGGGGCAGGGACGCCTTGGGGGAGGGGAGATGCGGGGAGGTGCAGCCCAGCCGTCGCGGCAGCGTCGGCGGATGGGGGGAAAGACGTGGCCACGGCTGCACCCAACCGGGGCAGCAGCCCTCTCTCAGCGCGGTCAGCCCTCCTTCCATGTCAACTCTTGTGAGGCTGCTCGCATGGGGTTGCACAAGGGGAAAACCGCAGTAGGCGTCCGTCACAGGGACCGGCAGCGGCGGCAGCTCTCCTCGCAGCGTCGTGGAGGTTCATCTGGGTAGGCTGCCGACCTCCCCGCCACCGCCGCTGCTGCTGCTGCTGCCGCACCAGCCCTGCTGTCAGGGCGACGAGAGCTGTTCCGTTTTGGCCGCGGAGCGACCCGGCATGTGCTACTGGAAGAGAGGCGCTGGAAGGTCGATGCTACTAGTCTAGCGGTTGCGGCCAGCGGCGATTCGGTTAGTGCCGAAGCTGAGGCTGCGAGGCTGGGTTGCTGCTTCTGAGGGTGCGAGGGTCAGACCCTTTTTGACTCCCTTGCACAGGTACGGGTATGGGTAGATCCCCGCTGCTGCTACTGCTGCTGCTGCCACAGCTCCGGAAGGTACCGCTAGCGAGGGCGTCCTCCACCTCCGCCGCAGCACCCACAGCCGCAGGGGGGGAGGGCCTAAACGGCAGGGACCCCAGCTGAAGGGATCCGAGTGACCCTCCGGACTCCCCCGGGTCCGCCCGCGCTGAGCTGCACCTGCACCTGCAACGCCTTCCCTCTCCTCTCCTCTCCTCCTCCTCCTCCTCCTCCTCCTCCTCCGCAGCAACAGCACTTGCAGCACCCAGCACCCTGCACCCCAGCTGGGAGCGGAGACGCGTTGCAGCAGTGGCATGTTGGGTTGGGTCGTGCGGTCTGACCCACATCGCTGATCCATCGCTGCTGCCTCGTGAAACTGCGAGGAATGTACCGCTGGTTGCAGCAGCCCCCCGCGGCAGCATTACCACCACCACCACCACCACCACCAGCAGCGCTGCTGCTGCTGCTGTTGCTATCGTCCATCCGTCCGGGATGTGCTCACCACCGCACTTTGCCGCTACCCAGCTACCCCATCCACATCTGCACGAGCCCCGCAGCAGCGGCAACCTCAACAGCAGCAGCAGCAGCACAGGCGGCGGCTGTAAGAGCAGCGACGGCGACGGTTGCAAAACCGCCACAACCTCCTCGCCTCTGCACCCTGCGTCCCCACTGCCGGCGCCTTTCGTTCTTGCCGCAGCTGCCACCGGAGCAGGCGGCAAAGATACGGCCCCAGCCCGCCCGGAGGCGCATGCATGCGGCTAGCACCTGCACGCAGCGTGCCGCCGTTTTCCTACAACCGCATTCCTGCAACTGCCACTGTGCCCCCACATCCGCTGCTGCTCCTTCTTATGATGCCGCTGCTGCGACCGGTACTGCTGCTGCTGCTGCTGCCCCTCCTTGCCGCCATCTCATCCTGACGTCCAAGCACGTCTCCCTGCCCCTGCACCAGCCGCCGCTGCCGCATCCTCCGCTCACAGCCCGCCAACGCACGCCCCGCCTGCCCACCAGCGTGCCGCTGCCGCCAGGCAAGCAGGGACCTGCAAGCAAACTCCGCAGCTGCCGCCGCTGCCGACCCCGTTGCTACTGCTGCTGCCGCGTGCGCCGACTAATCCGATGCCGCCGGTGCTGCTGCTCGTGCTGCTGCTGCAGCATGCAGGGCAGGTCGCCCTGGAGCCCTCCTCCTCCTCCTTCTTGCGCCGCTACCCCACATAGCTCCCATGTGGCAGGTCAGGTCCCGGCTTAGCCAGCTTTAACTCTGCCCACACCCTTCACCTCCCTCCCCCCCTCAGCCCCTTCCCCCCACCCGCCCGCCCAGCCCCCCGCCCCCCCACCCACCCATGGTGGAGCAACCCATGGTGGAGCCTCGTCATTCAGTTTGTCAGTGTTTCTTTATTTTCCCCCACCCACCCATGTTTCACTTATTTCATTTTCCCCCACCCACCCATGTTTCACTTATTTCATTTTCCCCCACCCACCCATGTTTCACTTATTTCATTTTCCCCCACCCACCCATGTTTCACTTATTTCATTTTCCCCCACCCACCCATGTTTCACTTATTTCATTTTTCCTCACCCACCCATGTTTCACTTATTTCATTTTTCCCCACCCACCCATGGGCTGCGTCATCATGATGCGCGTGTTCTTCATGGCGTAGCGCTTGCCCTTGGTGCCGGCAGCCTGGGAGGGAGGGGGAGGGGGTTGAAAGCGAGGGAGAGACACGAGAAGCATGTGGGGGGGGGGGGTGCCGGGGCGGCGCAGGACCGCGACCCCAAGCACCGTCCCCACCCACCCTCCCGCCGACCCACCCGCCCAGCATGGTTAGTTCGTTTCTTCCTCTCCACCCGCCCACGACCCGGCAGCACGTATCCACTACACCCTCCCACTACACCCACCAGCAGCAGGCTGGAGTAGCTGTAGCAGGCGCCCAGCGCCACCGTCTGCACGTCGGGCTTGATGGACTGGATGGCGTCCACCACCCCCAGCACCGAGTAGGGCTGACCGCCTGGAGGGCAGGGTAGGGCGGGGAGGAGGAGAGGGGAAGAGTGGGGAATGGGGCGAGGAGGAGGGGTGCAGCAGTGGGCACAGCGGGTTGGGTTGGTGGGTGGGTCTTGCGCGGGAAGGCCGGGGTGTTTGGGGTTGCTGCTTGGTATGCTGCGCATGCCCCTGGTTGGTGAGTCCCCATGCATGCCGCACCTGGCGAATTGATGTATATCCGGATGTCTTCGGTTTCATCGACAGCCTCAAGCGCCAGCAGTGACCCCACGATTTGCGTGGCCACCTGCGCGCAGCCAAATTGCACCAGGGGTAAGAATTATGCCTAAGATTTACTTTGTTACGTTGATCGACGCTCGCCAAACCTGCCTTGTCGTTGATATAGCCGCCGACGAAGATGATACGGTTTGTAAGCAAGTATCGGTAAAGGTCCATTTGGATCTGCGAATAAACGTACACGATGTTGGTGAGGGGTCTAGTTATTGCTGGCGAAACATGGCTGGGTGCACAAACGCTAAGATGTGGAGCACATGGTACGCACCGCGTCTTCGCCTTGCCCTATCTGAATGTCGGGCGTCACAACGGGGGTACGCCTAATGCCACGAGCCTCCACATTGCGTGATGGAGATCTGCAAGCAAAGCGAATGCCCTCATAAGCAAAAATGCCGACTCAGGCATGGCCGGCGTCAAGCATAAGCCGAAGGTACCTTGCTTGAGGCCCGGCTCCAAATGTATGGTGGTGACTGCATACGTTCCGACTATGGGAATTGACTGGTGGAACAGAATTGCTTGTGCTCCGCTCCGACAAAACGCGGTGCACTCTTCCAGGGTTTAGTAGGCTCGCCATAATTCGTGTATGTGACTGCACCAGACGCTTCCTACTCTCCTTTAGTAAGTGGTGCAAGAGTTGACAGTTACTTTAAAGGTAAAGACGAAGGATCTGCTTCCTTGTAAAATGACATAGATCTGTTCTAACAATATTTCTACAATGGTTGAAGGGCGACATTGTAGCTTTGGTGTTTTGTGGGTTATGCGGATGTACGAGCCCACTGAGGACCGCATTTGCAGGTCGCATTTCGCTGGATAATAACAAAGGGGTATGGCAATAGAATATCTGCTAAAGCTTTGGATTTGGAAAGGTATAACACATAATGTATATCACGCCGCTGGTCGGGCCTAGACACAACATCTGATCAGCCCGATACTCTTTGGGTCACCCATCTTCTGCAGTTGTGAACTTCAGCTATGCGATGTTAGCAGAAAGAGGATAGGCCGAAACCTTTTCAACGGCATTGAACGCAGCTGTCGTCATATATTAGCTGCCATGCCAACCTATACGGAGAGCGGCTCGGAGCGGTTCTGGTTCGATGCGGTATCAGCGGTAGTACTGTTTATGACGGCAATTGGCGGTAGGCCCTGCTGTAACGGCCTTCTCTTGCTTGCGCATGGCACGTGCTTATGGCACTCGCGCTCCTTGTCAACTGCTTTTAGGCGCCTGGCTGCCTAAATACTTATGCAACCATGGTTCCCACGTCAGCAGCGCGAAGAGCCTTGCGTTTCACCTTGGCAACATGCTCTCCGCGGGAGGTAAGCATGCCGACGAGCAATTGCGGGTTGCCTATCGCCCGTACCGCACTTCCGCCATGCCGCCCAAAGACTAGTTTCTGCCGCAGATTATCCCGTCAGAATTGCCACGATAGACCACCTTTTCCCCTTCGACTTCTCGTCTACCCACCAACCCACATCCCTTTCCGTCGCCTCTCCCTGCCCTACCCGCCACCCCACCTCCATGCGCCCCGTCCATGCCCCCCTACTACCAGTACGCCCCGTCCCGCACCGCCACACCTCCCTCTCCACCACCCCGCCCCCGCAGTCATGCTCTCCGCTGGCTTCTGTCACCTGCTAGCGGACGCACACCGCTACCTGCTCTTCATGGGCCGCTTCCCCATCTCCAACTTCCTAGCGGCAACCGGCTACATCATCACGCTGCTGGCGGATCAGGTGGGGCCCATGCGTACGGCACATCGTACATGCCGTTCGTACCGTACATGATCGGCCTTTACTACTGGTACATACGCATGGAGGGCTGCATGCTGCACGTGCGGTTGGTGCGCGTTGCCGTACCTGCATGCACGAAGCCTTAAGGCACCACGAACCCACCCCCACCCAGCCACCCACCCAGCCACCCACCCAGCCATGGCATCGCGCATGTGTGCGTAGTTGAGCGGAAACAAGAGCAAGCAGTTGTGTGTGCGTAGGTGGTCCAACACGTAACGGAGAGCCAGGACGCAGCAGCATCATCAGCGGGGGCGAAGACTAGCGGCAGCGGCGCCAACGGCTGCGCTACACCGCTGCAGCGCTGCTCCTCCTCTTCCGCCGCCGCCACCCTGCACGGCAAGCACCTGGACGCCGAGCTAACCGTCCTCGGCAGCAATAGCAACGCCGCCAGGTCAGCGTCAGAGGGCGTGTTGAGCACTGTCGTACATCGAGACGGCGCCGCCGCCGCCGCCAAGCTCCGCAGCAGCGGCGTCAGCGACCCGGAGGCTGGGCTGCTGTCCAGCGGCGGTGGCGGCGACGACGGCAGCCGCCTGCCGCTGCTCGCCTCCACCAACTCCCTGTGTGACCGAAGTAGCAGCGGCGGCGGCGGCGTCGGCGTTGCCGGTTACCCCAACCATCACTACCATCGACCGCCGCTCTCCGCCTTCGCCCCGGCGAGTGGCAGCAGCGGCGGCAGCAGCAGCGGCGGCGGCGCAGCCGGAGGCGGCGGCGGCCATGGCCCCGGCGGCGACTGCGCCGCCACGGGCGTGGCGGTGTTGCTGGGCGGCGGCGGGCGCAAGTTGAGTTTTGCGACCGCGGTGTTGCTGGCAATGGCGCTGTGCATCCACTCCATCCTGGAGGGCATGGCGCTGGGTGCGCAGCAGAGCATGCGCAGCACGGAGGACATCATGGTGGCCATTGCGGCGCACAAGGGGCTGGCGGCGTACGCGCTGGGGGCCAGCATCGTGGAGAGCGGGGCGTCGTCCAAGAAGTGAGGCGGGGAGGACGAGGGAGGGGGCTGGGAGGGGGCTGGGAGGAGAAATCGAGGGCTGAGGGCAGGAAGAGAGGAAGAGCAGGAAGAGAGGAGGAGAGGACTGGAGGGAGGGTCCCCAGCCCAATCAAACAGCTTAACCCAACCCGACCCAAATCACACACATCAACCCAACCCAACCCAACCCGGCCCGACTCGACCCAAATCGCACCCAGGTTCTGGAGCGTCATCGGCTGCTTCTCCTTCGCCACCCCCGTGGGTATCTTCCTGGGTTACAGCATGTCGGCTGCCGGCAGCAGCAAGAGCGGCGCAGCGCTGTCCGCACTCGCCTCCGGCACCTTCCTGTACGTGGCCTTCATGGAGGTACGGCAGCAGAGGGGTGGGAGGTGGGAGGTGGGAGGTGGGCGGGGGATGCAGAGGGGATCCGAGCGGAGTGACACCCAGCAAGTACGGCGGGGTGGAGGAGGTGGGGGCCGGGCGGCGGGGCGGCGGGGTAATGGGCCCGGTGGGGCGGTAATCCAGTATGTGCACGTGCCGATGTGGGAAGCAGCGAACCGGGCCTCCCTCTCCCCTCCTGTCCCCCTCGCCCCCGCCTAGGTTATCCCCAAGGAGCTGTCTGACGGGCGGCACCGGGCCGCCAAGATGGCAGCCCTGCTGCTGGGATACAGCCTGATGAGCATGTTGGCCATCTGGGCGTGAAGGGGGAGGTGGTGGAGGGTGGCGGAGGAGGGGGCGATAATGTAAGAAGTGAAAGAGGAGGGGTTTAGGGGAAGAGGAGGGGTAGGCAGGATGCAAACCCGCGTTCGTAAGGCGAAGCCGGAGTAGTAGGGGCTGAGGAAGGGAAGGTGCAAGTGGAAAACCAACAATGCTGACTAGTCGAAGCCACCAAGGCCGACCCAAATCAGCAAAAAGCCAAAACGCAACCGACGGATTAGGGTACAAGGGGAGGTAGGAGGGCGTGCTTGGGTACAGTAGACCGCTGCCACAGGTGACTGCTGCTGGCGGTGGTGGTGGGTGTGGCGGCGGTGGCGGTGAGGAGAATGGGAAGGAGGGTGTTGGTTGGGACGCGGCGGGCACAGCCCTAACAGCGGAGAACCGGAGGAAGCCGTGTTGCTCGGGGTGCGGGCAGGAGGAGGAAGGTAGGGGAGGAGGTGAAGAAAGGTTGAAGCGAGGAGGTGGAGGGGGAGGAGATGGAGGAGGGGGCACGCGTGCGTGAATGCTGCGCCGGCTGGTGCTGCGGACCAACAGCCAGCAGCACTGCACGATGGGGGTGGGCGGGGGTTGCGGCTGGGTTGCTGCCGGTGTAGGGTCAGCTGCGGTTGTTTTTCTCCTTGAGCTAACTTTAGTAGTGTGTTATACAGCTGTTGCGTAGTGGTAGACGGCGCATCTGACTCGTGACTAAGCACCGCGTATGAGGTATGACACATGCATGGCTGCCCAGTGCCTGGAGGTGCATGCTCTGGGTTGGGTTTTACTCACTCCGGCATTTGACATGCATGGAAGGTTACGGTATGGCACTGTATGGGCGGAGGGTGCCACCAAACAGGAAGCTCGACGGTGTCGCGCCGGTGTTTAGCTGGAGGACGCCTGGCGCGTGTTTTCGGGGTAGTCCCCTTGTCGTTGTACCCTTGACGTTTTTGACTTGTTGCACAGTTATGTAGCCGGGGCAGATAGGGGGGTGTTTCCGAGGTATAGAGGCTCTCGTTGCATGGTGGAGGTAGGGGGGCATTACAGCAGCAGAGCTACATGCATTATCGCATGCCGCGGCTTTTCCGTGAGCTTTACTCTTGAATGCGTTGCAAGCTCGCAGGGGTGTTTGCATATTTGTGGGCTAATAGTATTCCGGCTGCTTCCGGAGACTAACGCGTTACACGGGTTGTTGATGTGTTGTCGGTAAGGAACCGTGCGCACCATTGGCTGTAGGAAGGAGACCCGTCCTCGCTTTTGCTTGCGGCAACGGTCCTCTTCGTTCGTACACACAGGTGCATGTAGCTGCCCGGCTGCTGGCGGTTTCCCCTCTCACTCGGCTAGCTACCCGTCCGTCCGCCCGCCAACACACCCTTGTCATGCGGCACACGCACATAACATGTGGTGTGCATGCGACGGCAAAGTTGCGCTTTACCGGTAACACGCAACCGCGATGCATGCCCCCGCATCTTCGCTGCACCTGCGCCTGCTACTGTGTATACCGGTAGCTTGCGCGCGTCTGTGCTGCTCATCAGGTTGCCGAGCGCACCTGAACACACAAATACGGCAAGCAGCCAACCTGTGATATCATCCAATCCAGCTTCCAGCACAGATGTCGTATGCATCCCCCCCCCATCTCATCAATTGCACCCGCACCCGCCGAACCATGGGACTCATCAGTGCCACAGCCATCATCAACGCCGTACCCCCGATATATTCCCCTCGCCACAATCTAAGCCTCCCCGCATCAGAGCTGTACACAGACACCTACCGTGCACCCATTCCCCTCGCTTCCGCATGGCTGATCTGGGTCAAGAGCTCAAGACCCAACCACATGCATGTTAAACCCCCATGCGCCATCCACATACCGGTATGACATATCGCCCTTCATCTGCCTCAAGCTCGACATACATGCATGCCGCCTTCCTCTGGCCGCTTTCCCACAGCCGGTGGAAGGTCGTCTGGGTCAGATGTCGGGCATTCGGTGTCTTCTTCCTTATCCCCCTCCCGCTGCCGCTCTTCCTTGTCCCCCTCCCCTCCCCTCCCCTCCCCTCCCCTCCCCGCTCCGCTCCGCTCTCCCTCACATCATGGACTGCAGCAGCTTCGCCAGCTGCGGCATCTTGCCCGCCTTGCCCTTGACGCTCTCGGCACGCTTGCGAGCCTCAGCGGCAGCTGCCTCGTTCTCCTGGGAAGGGGCGGGGCGGGGAATGGGATGGGGGATCAGAGACCATACCATACCATAGGAAGCCACAGGTGAATGGGGGAGCGCAGGAGAGTGGGGGGGTTGCATGGTAGGGAAGTGGTACCTCTCCCCCTCTCCCCTCCTCCCTCTCCGCCCCCGCCCCAGCCCCATGTTGCAACCCATGTTGACGCCTTATCCCTCAGTCAGTTAGTTGCTTCCTCTTTACCCCACCTGCGCCACCGCCGCGAACTTCCTCTTGAGCGCCTGCCTCCGCTGCTCCGCCGCCATCTTGATCTGCATGCCGCTCTCACCCACCGCCGTGTGCTCGTCGTTGTAGCGCTCCCACAGGGCCGCCATGTCCTGATCGGATCGGGGTACGTATGATGGGGTACGGCGGGGGTACGACAGCCGGTAGGCAGGCAGGCGGGCAGCAGGTACGGTAGGCACGCATGCTGCAAGCTGTGGCGGTTCTGTATTGCCCCCCCCCCCCCCCCATTGCTGTTAGGACTGCCAGCCAGCAGCAGCAGGACCAGTACATGCTATGGGGAGCGGTAGGAGCATGCGGCGGCTGCTGCAGGCCGCCTAGTCCCTCTCAATCCAAGTCCTAGGCTGCAGGCTGTAGGGCGTGCAGCACACGAACGGCAGCAACCGCTTCCTAGCTATAACTCCCGATAGACCCCCCCCAGCCCCCCCCACCTGTTGGTACTTGACGGTGATCGCCTCCATCTCCGCCAGCAGCTCGCCCAGCCGCCCCGCGCCCTTGGTATAGGTGGACTTGGTGAGGGAGCTGAGGTCCTTGGCGTCCTGGTGTGGGGGGAGCGAGAAGGGGGGAGGGAGTGGAGTAAAGAGGAGGGAGTAAAGAGGAGGGAGGGAGGGGTGCAGGGGGGGTACATGTGCAGGAGCGGAGTAAGCGAGGGGCTGGTTGGTTGGACATGTTGCTTGACCCATTTAGATGGTGACCCACGGGTCCAATCCCGATGAGGTTGAAGGCTTTTCGCTGTTGATGTTGATTTGGGCATCCATAGATCATGTTACATGTTCAGCTTATTAGCCAACTTGGAAAGGTCCAAGCCAGCCAGGACCGTCAAACTCCTGTAGACAGGCAACCCAAGAGTCCTCGATCGGGCATAGGACTGACAGAAGAGGAACCTCCTTCTTTGGCCTCACGTCGAAGTAAAAGACGACCGAAAGCCGGTAGCAGCTAACACAAAGCCTCTGAACCCCGCCCGAAAGCAAACATGTCCTCTTTTCATTCCCACCTTGGCGATCGCACTCTCTAACGTTGCAAGCCTCTCCTCCACGCCCTTTTTGAACTCCTCGACCACCTGCGCCTGCTGCTTTGCCGCAGCCGCCTTCTTCTTCTCCAGCGTTTGTTGAAACACCTTTTGCAGCATCACCAGCTCCTCCTCATCTCCGCCACCCTCATCGTAGTCAGCGGCCTCAGCAGCCCCCGCGTCTGTGGCCGCTGCGAGCATTGCTGGGAGCGCCAGGGAACGACCGTCGACCATGGTTGCTTGCTCTGCGCGCTTTTCCTTACGACTGCTCTTTCAATGCGGCTGCTTTACAATCAATGCTAAGTGCTATAAAGGCTAGGAAGCGATAAAGGGAAGGAGAATATGTATAGGAAGGATGAAGCTTGTGTAGTTGCAGCCGTTAAGGGTGGATGAGGGACAGCTCTGGTGATGATGATGCCAGTTGCAGCTGCAGGGCGCGGCGCTGGCTAGATCTGCTGCTTCCTGTTGCTGCGGCAAAGGTATGTCGAAAAGGCCGGGCGATATATATCGAGATATAAAGCTCTTGAAAGCAACTTGCTGTCGTAGGTCAAGTCCTTGGCGGGATCAGCAGAACAAGGGTAGGGTCAACGGCAACCCACCAAGTTATGGAAAGCCCGCCCGAAAGAGCAGCGCATGCATCGCATGTGCCGTGGTAGGGCTCGGAGCGGCTGGTGTATGGCGGGCGGGGGCTCTTTCGCAAAATGTACGGCAATGACGAAGCACAGCCTCGGATGCGGACCTGGGTCAAAAGGGACCCTTCGCGCCCCTCGCGCCTGAATACCAATCTAAATTTCGCTTTACTTCAGCGTCAAAGAGCATTACGATAACTCATAGCGGTATAAACGAAACGAATTAGACTCGACTTTGAAGAGACAGCCACAACCCTGCCGGGCCGAAACGCACGGTGCACCCCGACGCTTTTAGCTAACCCGTTCTTGAGGCTTGTCAAAGCAGCAAGAGACAACAATGCAGAAGGTACTGGAGCAGGTGAGCAATCTCGAAGGCTTGGGTGACGCAGCGGCCACTGCGAAGCAGCTTTAGGAACACGAAGCCCCGTCTAGGCGACCCATGGGTCACACTACGCCTACAAAGCTGGCAATTGCTGGCGTTTAGGCGAATACGTGTCTTGCTGTTGAAGGACGCTTGGATGCAGTTGCGGCCTGAGCTTTAGCTGTTGCTCTGTAAACGAGTTTTAAATTGCTAACAGCCGCACTTCCGTGGCGACGTCAGACCTCGGTCTTCCCGCTCAACTCCTCGTCCGCGCGATGCGATGCGATGCGATGCGACGTCATAGCGGTCTTGGTTTGCTCCCACAATGGGGCTTCAGATGTCTTAAAGTGCTATTGAACATAGTATGCAGCTGACCCAGATCATATATGACCCATATCGTGTTTGACCCAGAACTTATTCCATAACGCCTTGAACCTCTTCTTCTATTGCTCAAGCCACCCTCTCCCCCTCATGCCCCCCCCTCCCCCAGGCCCGTCAGTCGCTCCATATGGGCGAGCGAACCTTCAAGCCCACTCCCAACCTGCGCAACCCCGCCATGCTGGCGGAGGCGGAGGCGTTCGCGGTGCACATGTCGGGTTTCAAGGGGTCGCTGCGGAGGTACCAGGCGGCGCTGCAGGGTGGGGGGGAAGAGGGAGGGAGGGAGGGAAGGGAAGGGGGGGAAGATAGCAGTCTTGGAGGGATGCTTGAAGGGGAGGGGGCGACGCTGTTTGCAGGGCGGGCTGTGGGGCGATGTGGGTCCTGCTAGGGGGACTGTGCCGTGGGTTGAGAAAACTGGTACAGTTGATCTGCATCTCCTACCCGTCACTCAAATCCCTCCCCACTGCACCCCTCTCCCCTGTGTCGTCCTCCTGCCCCTCCCCTCCCCCCCCAAAACAGTGTTCCTCAAGTCGCTGCCGGTGGTGGCCCGCGGCAACCTACCCCGCGTGTGGGAGCGCGTGGAGGGCGGGCTGTGCGAGCCGCTGAGGCCCAACGTCAGCCACTCGCACCCCACACGCGTGGGAGGGGAGTTTGATGAGGTG